ATGCCCAATAATAACTTAAAATGTTCATAGTGATGTAGAATACACATAAATTAGACAGGTGTGCCAGATATATACAGTGCCTTTGGAAAATATTCAGACTCCTTGACTTTTTCCACATTCTGTTACGTTACAGCCTTATTCTAAAATGGATTAAATAAACAAAAATCCTCAGAAATCTACACACAACACCCCATATTGATGAAGCAAAAACAGTCTTTTTTTTTAGAAGTTTTTGCAAATGTATAAAAAATAAAAAACAGAAATACCTTATTTACATAAGTATTCAGACCCTTTGCTATGAGACTCGAGATTGAGCTCAGGTGCATCCTGTTTCCATTGATCATCCTTGAGATGTTTCTACAACTTGATTGGAGTCCACCTGTGGTAAATTCAATTGATTGGACATGATTTGGAGAGGCACACACCTGTCTATATAAGGTCCCACAGTTGACAGTGCATGTCAGAGCAAAAACCAAGCCATGAGGTCAAAAGAATTGTCCGTAGAGCTCCGAGACAGGATTGTGTCGAGGCACAGATCTGGGGAAGGGTACCAAAAAATGTCAGCAGCATTGAAGATCCCCAAGAACACAGTGGCCTCCATCATTCTTAAATGGAAGAAGTTTGGAACCACCAAGATTCTTCCTAGAGCTGGCCGCCTGGCCAAACTGAGCAGTCAGGGGAGAAGGGCCTTGGTCAGGGAGGTGACCAAGAACCCGATGGTCACTCTGACAGAGCTCTATAATTCCTCTGTGGAGATGGGAGAACCTTCCAGAAGGACAACCATCTCTGCAGCACTCCACCAATCAGGCCTTTATGGTAGAGTGGCCAGACGGAAGCCACTGATTCAAACTCTGTAGCTATTCTAACAAGCCGCCCTCAGCAACAATGTTATTGGGGTACGGGAATATTAGATGTACCTTTTAAATTACTACTGGTTTTCGATCCGAGGGAAGAGAAATTGTCCACCAGGCATTGTTTTATGTTTTGGTAAGGACTTGGAGTGATGTCACGCACCCAAGAAGGCTCAACCAATCATGAACTACAGGACAAAATACAAACCCTCCAACCCAAAAAGGCCTGTGGTGTTCATGGTATCCTAAATTAAATGATACAATTTACAGACCACAAATTCCAATTGGCTATTCTTAAACTCTTCAGCATTATCCTCAGCTCTGGCATCTTCCCCAATATTTGGAACCAAGGACTGATCACCCCAATCCACAAAAGTGGAGACAAATTTAGTAATAACTACCGTCGGATATGCATCAACATATAACAAGCAAACAAACCAAATAAAAGCAGTCTTCTCATGCTTTGTTGATTTAAAAAAAATATTTTGTCTGCTATATAAATTGATGGAAAGTGGTGTTGGGAGGGAAACATACAACATTATAAAATCCTTGTACACAAACAACAAGTGTGCAGTTAAAATTGGCAAAAAACACACAGATTTCTTTCTTTCCTCTTCAAAATGTATATATATCAACGAATTAGCGAGGGCACTAGAACAGTCTGCAGCACCCGGCCAAACCCTACTAGAATCTGAAGTCAAATGTCTACTGTTTGCTGATGATCTGGCGCTTCTGTCCCCAACCAAGGAGGTTCTAAAGCAGCACTCGAATCTCAGTAAGACAAAAATAATGGTGTTCCAAAAAAGGTCCAGTTGCCAAGACCACAAATACAAATGGTATCTAGACACCATTGCCCTAGAGCACACAAAAAAAACGATACATATCTCGGCCTAAACATCAGCACCACTGGTAACTTACACAAAGCTGTGAACGATCTGAGAGACATGGCAAGAAGGCCCCTTTCTACGCCATCAAAAGGAACATAAAATTCAACATCCCAATTAGGATCTGGCTAAAAATACTTGAATCAGTTATAGAACCCATTGCCCTTTATGGTTGTGAGGTCTCGGGGTACGCTCACCAACCAAGAATTCACAAAATGGGACACACACCAAATTGAGACTGCGTGCAGAATTCAGAAAAACATCTTCTAACGTAAAATACAAAATAATGCATGCAGAGCAAAATTAGGACGATAACCGCTATTGAACAAAATCCAGAAAAGAGCCATTCAATTCTACAACCACCTAAAAGGAAGCGATTCCTAAACCTTCCATAAAAAAGCTATCACCTACAGAGAGATTAACCTAGAGAGCAGAGAGCAAGCTGGTTATGGGGCTCTATTCACAAACACAAACAGATTGAGTAGTGATTTAGGATGCAAGGTGATTTGTAGATCAGTCAGTCTAAACTTTAAAGTTGGTTGCAATGTCGAACGCGCCCAATGAATTTGACTCCGGTTACCCTACAAAATGAAATTTTGCCTCCGGTACACAGGCGGGGCGACACTTGTAGCTAGCTAGCTAAAACACCGGTAGACACTGGGGTTTTCTTGTTTGGGCAAAAGACCGCCCTCTGTCCTTTCTCCTCCGTCCTCCCTCCTCTGTGACCCGGAAACTGATAAGTGGTCTAGTGGTCAAGGAATGTGTCAATTCGTAAGTAGGCTAACGGAAGTGTCCTCCCCTCCTCGATAGCCACCTTTCATCGAGGATACTCGTGTATCCTACCCCGGAAGAGTTGTTAAATCTACCACACCCTCTTTGAATCAGCTTTTGTTTTGTCAGAGGAGAAAAACATGCACACGTTTAAAAAATAACTTATTGTTTTATCTATAAAATGTACTGCACAACAAACTTAATTTGATCACTTTAGACATTTATTTTGGGATCCACCCCTGTAAATGTCATTAGCTTAATGACGCACGAGTGGATAATGAACGTCTCATTTCATGCAACGCATTTCCATCCATGTTCACTCTCCTCGATTAACTTGGACCTTTTTCAAAAGGAGGCGAGAGAGGACGAAGGAGAGGACACAGGTGAGCACATCTAATTGATAGAAGGCCATAGTCCTTCGCCCCCGCCTGCCGAGCACTGCTTTCCCACAGTTCTGTTAACGTTATGGCGAGTGTCTATTTGTTACATCACTTCCTCACAGCTTTGATAAAGAGAGGGGTGGGGTGGCTGGTATATCTGTAACATCTGCTATCCAACGCATCAGCAGATTACACATACATTTTAAGGTAAAATACTGCACATTAATTATACTACTAAAATAATGGCATAGCCTAAACAAAAAAACTCTGATAATACTTTGATTTCTCTTTTGACCCACATCTGTTCCTGCAGATGGAGGAATGCCCACATGCAGGAAAGCCCCGAATTGCAGGCCGCAATCACACACTATTTGAGCGCGCAAGGTTGGCTTTTTGAAATCCGCAGGATTGCTCTCTGTCTGAGGATTACTGGAAATTATAAATGTGATAGCTTTTCAAACGCTAAAATGCAATGCAATTAATTATTGCATGGAAAGCTTTTACCATTGTGAATTAATAATCTGAGACCAAACCAATGAAAATAAATCATAAAATCTGACTGACAAAAATGCATTACCATGCCTGAAACATTTCAGAGGAACATGACTTTTTATTAAAATACTTTGTAGAAGCTTACATCACAATGATTGTTTCTATTTAAAAAGTTCCAAATAAATCCTAGTTACAAATGTATTGGGTTGTTCTCATTTTGCAGTCTGATTGAGATTAAATCTAAACATGAAATAGAATAGCCTAATGCACATGACATTTCTTTATGTTGTAATGTAAATTATCCAGGCATCAAGCACATCAGATTTGAACCACATGAATTCCATTACTAAAGATTTGATCTCTCTCCCATCCGTCCCACCCCCCTCAGCTAATTTCAATTTGCTGTTTTCCAGATAATTAAAATGATCAGTTTACATAAAACAGGATCATATGCTTGAACGAACCCTAAGAGACACTCTACCCACATGTACATATTACCTCAATTACCCCACATTGACTCTGTACCGGTACCCCCTGTATATAGCCTCCCTACTGTTATTTTATTTTACTGCTGCATTAGTTAAGGGCTTGTAAGTAAGCATTTCACTGTAAGGTCTACACCGGTTGTATTCGGCGCATGTGGCAAATAACATTTGATTTAATGCTCTATTCATGCTGCTACTAGGGGTGTCAAGATGCAGTCTTCAGAATACAGATCTAAACTCTATCTAACTTGGCTAGAAAGGAGCGGAGTGGAGCACCCTGTTAGGGAGGGTGGGAAGTTAATAACACTGAGTTAAACCCTAGGGCCAGGATAAGGCATTCATCACAGCTGTGTAGCTCAATGTACAACCTCTGCATATAAACATAAACTGATATGGGTGTCAGCAACGAGTCCACTTTAGCAACAATGTTTGATTCCCCTTTTCTGTTCATATTCTCTGTTGCAATGTCAATGATAAAACTTGACTGATGAAATAGGCAAGGACAACTATTCATTCTGTTGTATCTCCATCAAAGCAAGTAAATCTAATTTCTTAATTTTGGGGGGCTTCTAATTACTAATTAATTAATACCCATAAGAAAGAGCAAAACATACCACAAGACAACTTCAAAATTATGAGTATGGAGGTCAAGACTCATCAGGGAGGATTTTTTCTTTTGGTTAATCAGATAAATCTGCTGAAACCGAGTAAAGCATGCATCTTACTGACAGATGGGTCAACAGTGATTTCACATACTTAAAATGATTGGTATTAGATCTCAGCAGTATCTGTTAAGAGGAATAACATAGTAAGCTACATTAAATATGTTAATGAGGTATAACAAAGGCATTTCCCTATACCTGGCCAGTGTGCCATTACGAGCATTGGTTGAAATGAAATTCTACAGATCATGGTGGCCAAAGACGACAGAACTCCATTCCACTGCTTTGCCGGTTGTAAATGACCCGATTACAAGCATGGCATTATAGGAGGCTGCCCTCCTCACACACATCCCCCCTCTCCAGTAACACACTTACACAACTCTGAAGCTGTGCCAGTGGAATGTATAAACTCCCTTGATTTTCAATGACTGTAGGCCTGTGGGGGTAAACTGGGTACCAGTCTGTTTTGCTAATATTCCACTCCGTGACATATGCCAAAGATGATTCGGTTTAGCATAACAAGGAGTGTAATGATAGCTAAACAGACTAGTACCCAGACTACTGTTGGGGTGTTATGGCTTTGCCACTAGCATATCGGAATCGCTGACCTTATACAATAAGGGACTTCATTACCCACATCAGACTGCAATGCTAAGTACACACCCAATTATACTATATTTTCCACTTCATCCGTTCTTATACTTGCCTTGATAGTCAGTAAACAAATTGGATATCTTGAAGCCTGATTATTCGATTTGAGATTGACAGCCACTGTGGAATCCATATGGGTAAAATAAGTTTCAATGCCTGCAGTATGTACACAAGATTAACCCCTAAAATTCCAGCGTCAATGACAGCGGACACTTTTGGTGGGACAATGGCGATACTGGAGTGCTGAAGCAGGATAGATCATTTGAGTACTTGGCAAAGATATTGTTTTCATGTTCTATTCATATCCAAAGGTAACATATAAAAGGTAACAGAAAGGTAAGAAGACCGCCGCCCCTCTAGTCTTGGCAACTACAAAGAAGATCTATATATTTAATCATGAAAAGAGGTTAAGAGCAACAGAGAAAATAAGTGTAGGTGGGTGTCTTGACAAACATTGTATGCATTTCACTTATCAGCAGAGGCATATCTTGCGATATTATTCAATTCATGTCAAAAAGCTCATAAAAAGTCAGCCACTTTTATTGTGATAACTAGAAATGTATTAAGCCCAATATTATAAAATCCTTTGTAAGGTTTGTGAACAAATAGTAGTGGAAAAAACATAATTCATCTTCAATACCGTTCCAGACGTATGCCTCACTTTATAGCATGTCAAACAGCAATTGATACAACAAAAAACACAGGAAAAAACATTAACAGGTTTCCCTCCATAAAGGAGTAATTTACAAAAACACTGAGCCACAGGAAAGTCAGACACAGAGGGGTTTAAAAGCAAACTGGGAAAAAATCCTTGAGTAATCCACTTATTGCTTTCTGGATGAGAGAAAATAGGATGAGGGTAGGGAGTCTTTGCAGACTGGTCCCTCCTGAAGGATTCCGTTTTGTTGGATGGGACCAAAGCCGGGTCAGAATGGACCTCAATACTAGTGTCTATCTGCTTGCATGAACATGAAGGGTGACGACGGAATGTTGTGGACGAGAGGGCGATTGCGGACGAGAGGGCGATTGGGGACAGTTGGGGGTGAGGGGCGGGGCTATTGGTCCGTTGGCATGTCTCTGTCTGTTTCTGCTTTAGAGGGTTGCCCCGGCGACGGTGTGTGGGGAGGTCGGGACACGGGGGCAATCCCATGTGCCATAGCCAGGTTCCCTGCAACAATTCCCTCCACTGCAGTGCCTGCCCCTGTCAGGCCTCCTGCTGCCACTCCCACTCCCACTAGACCAGTAGGGAACCTGTTGACAAATGAGGGGTTGAGTCAGAAGAATTAGAAATGATATGGAATTATCTTTCTAGGGTCATAGAACACAAGCCAGATGTCATCGATACCTGGAGTTCTCTTTACTGTCACTCATTTATTACCTACAGGTGCTTACTGTCCCTCTTAACAGTCTCAAACAAAGTCTGGTCGTACCTGTAATCAGTAACTCCGTTGAGTTCTGAGTGCACAGCCCCAGGGTCCATGCCAGGCCACTGGGGCGTTGCCATCAGATACTCCTTGTTCACACAGTTCTTCAGACTGTCAGGGATACGGCCTGTCGGAATAAACCACCACAACAGTCAAGCTAACTGATCAAAGGCTACTTAATGACAACTCTTGATAAGGTTCTTTGGGCTGGACTACAAAAACAGCTGGGCTGTAATACATAAACTATATCACTTAGTGGTTAGGGCTACCGTGCCAAGTCTCAAGTGGACAGACTGTTGTTCACTCTGCGCAGAAATGGAAATGTATCATTGTTCCCTAGTGTATGTGCCTAACGCCTATAAATACTCTGTTATACACGGAGGCTTGCATAACTGAATACCTGTGATGGCCCGGCGCACTTCTCTAGCTGCCTCCTCCCGCGCCTCGAGTGACGCCTGCTCGCTGTACCAGGATGCGTGAGGAGTGCAAATCAGATTGGGGGCGTCCTTCAATGGGCCCTGAGAGAAGCTGGAGATGGATAGATCAACAGACCAGTGAGACAGATTAAAGAGTGTGTGCAAGGGGGTGTTGATAGAGAGACTTTTTAAAATGGTGAAGCACAACCTTCAAACCAGTTACTGTTTGCACGTTTTAAATGACTGGGATAAGCAGGATGAGGAGGCTTTAAGTGCCTGTGGGCTGGGAGGAAGCTGACCTGAAGGGCTCTGTCTCGTGTACGTCCAAGGCAGCACCCCGTATCCTGCCCTCTTTCAGTGCCTGGGCCAGGGCCCTCTCATCCATCAGGCCCCCTCGCGCCGTGTTAACCAAAAATGCTCCCTGACGCATCTGCACATACGACAGATCACAGTCAGCAAGCCATGCAGACAAAAATAACCTAAACGCATTGATAATGAGGGTGTTGTGGGTGGCAGGAATGGTGTTTACGTGTGTGTTGGGGTTGTCACGATACCAGAATTTTGACTTCGATACCAGGTTTAGTATCACAATACTTGATACCATCACGATACGCGATACCAGAACGATACCACGGCAATCGTTAGGCATCTTTTGAGTTGAATATCATGACATTTTGAATTTCTTAAATACATTTTTCAGAGACAGCCAAGTATGCATTAATAAAATCAATTAGTCATTTTGACTTTGTTTTTACTAATCTAACTACATAATGGTTAGCATTTATTTGAATGGTATCTATCGATAAACTGGGTAAATCAAGATGCAGCCTAGGCCTAGCTATGAATGCATGCATTGAGTTATTGAGCTTGTTTTGCCTGATTTCATGGGGCTAGATGACAATCTGTTTCCCTTCCATTTGGGACTTATTTTATTGTACTGATCAACAACATTCGCATAGAAGTAGCTTATTTTATAAAGATGTGCGCCGTCTCTTTAACCAGTAATGACGTCATTCACGAGGCAGTCATTTCAGTCAGTTCGCTGATAATCTTTGGGAGAAACGTGAGAGACCCAATACGTTTTTCATGGCAATCAGCTAAGAAATCAGCATATTTTGTTTGTGATAATATGCAAACCATAACGCAAAGTACTAGGGTAATGAATTGATGATAGCTTCAGCTGTAAGCTAGCAAGGAAAGATAGCCTACAAAGCTGGAAGCTACCGGTATCATCTTCTATTGTAAAGTGTTCTAGCCTGTATTGACAGTTTCAAAATGGCTACATGCTGTGTCCCATTATTCAAGAGTTCACTTCTGTGCAGCATGAGCGGGGAGCTAACATGATGCAGCCCAGACTCCCAGTGCAGGCTAGCAATGAGTAACGCCTCGATCACACCGACATTGCATTTTTTGTACACCAGAAGTACATTCATTTCCAATGGAACGCTGCGTTTGCCTTGCAGCATTGCGTTGCAGAGGCAGTGCGTTGTGTGGTGCATACGTCAAACTGTATGCGTCGACGGCTTGACAGAAATGGTAGCAGAAGGTGAATGTTGAACTTTTGTTGCACACATATCCAGATGATGCTGCGTGACATTTTGCGCAATGACACTATCGGTGTGATCGAGGTGTAAGTGGAGGAGGCACGGTGCGCGCTATAATAAGGGCTGTGTTAGACAGGCTTGATCCATGAGACACATTTGACAGAAGTACCGAAAGTAACAAATTCTAGTACCAAACCGTTTTTCCATGTTTGAGAATCTAAAAAAAAGTACAGAAGTTTCGGTATACCTTGCAACACTAGTCTGCGTGTGTCTTATACCTGTTTAATGGTGAAGTCGTTGATGAGGTGATGGTTGTGCTCGTTGAGGCTGCAGTGCAGTGACACACAGTCAGAGTGGATGAGCAGGTCCTGCAGGGTGGCCATTCGCTGCAGGCCCAGAGAGCGCTCCACTCCGTCTGGCAGGTAGGGGTCGTAGAAGATCACACTGAAGCCAAAGGCCTTGGCCCGCAGCGCTACAGCCTGGCCCACTCGCCCTGCGGCACAAGCACAGATACACTCAGACTGGAGGATGGAGTAGCGGTGAGAGGAGCCGCTCACTACTTCAGAAAACTACAATTATTTGCTTTAAATATACATTAAAAGGATCTGTGAGGACACCAATAATAAAAAGACACTGCAACTTCGAAACAGATCACATTAGGATAACTTCAATTAACATATGTCCTATGACGACTGCACTTGCAGAGAGCCCTTGCTAAGACACTAATCAATTCCCTCCTCACCCAGGCCGATGATGCCCAGAGTCTCTCCCCGGATGCGGGCAGCGCCGCTGGCCACCTCCCTGATCTGCTCCACGCTGGAAGCCCTGGTGCCCTCTCTCATAGCCTGGTGCATCCAGGTGACGCGGCGGTACAGGTTCAGGATCAGACACATGGACGTGTCCGCCGTCTCTTCCACTGATGTCGCAGGCACATTACACACCGCTATACCTGAGGACGACAGAGCACAGAGGAGACAGCGGTTAGTTATGATACATATTAAAGGTGGATGGATGGGTGTAGTATGTAGGCTGGAGGGGTGGTGAAGCTAAGTATTGTTCCAGTAGCCAACCTAGTTCAGCCGCAGCCTTGATGTCCACGTTGTCAAAGCCACTGCCGATTCGCACAATGATCCGCAGGCCTTTGAACTTGTCCAGGTCGTCCCGCGACAGGGTGATGGTGTGGTACATCAGGGCACCCACTGCCTCATTCAGCACCTGAAGCACCAGGGAGAGTGTTCAGACATATCCTTATTCTACCATTGCACTAAAAGAGCAAATACTTTCCCAAGCTCTATTGAGTTGGAAATAGCCCCCCACCACATAAAAAGACAGGTTCATGAAGCATCCATTTCCCCGACTTAAAAGTGCAGACAGATACTTGGTGTATAGGAGAGTAATGGTGCTGGGAGAGATAGTTGGTTACCTTCTCGTGGATCTCCTGGGTGGACTGGGCATCACAGAAGGCCACCGTGGCCACGTCCTTTAGGACAGGCATCTCCACGGTGCAGTCGCGCCCATCCAACAGCGCCACCAGGGGGCGCGGGTGCATCGGCCCATTCAGAATCGGGGGGCGAATGCCTAGACAAATACAACCAATCAACATAAAATAGACATGGGCATTGTCAAATGGGATCCCCCATGTCTTTCTATAGCGTCAATCAGACAGGCCTATGTAATAATAATAATACGTCATTTAGCAGACGCTTTTATCCAAAGCGACTTACAGTCATGCGTGCATGCATTTTTGTGTATGGGTGGTCCCGGGGATCGAACCCACTACCTTGGCGTTACAAGCACCGTGCTCTACCAGCTGAGCTACAGAGGACCACATGTGATCGTGTAGATGGTCTAACTGTCAACAATTTCTACAGTTTCCCCTCAACATCTGCATGTTTAAGATTGATTGGGGAACACATTCGATACACAACCAAAAACATATGGCATTTGTTTTGTTCTTTATGATCGTAACATTGAAAACCCATCAGAAATGACAGTAAAATATTTATATTTTCACTTTCAAAGTGGTGTACTAAATACACTGCTCAAAAAATAAAGGGAACACTTAAACAACACAATGTAACTCCAAGTCAATCACACTTCTGTGAAATCAAACTGTCCACTTAGGAAGCAACACTGATTGACAATACATTACACATGCTGTTGTGCAAATGGATTGAGACAACAGGTGGAAATTATAGGCAATTAGCAAGACACCCCTTCTCAGTTCCTATGCTTCCTGGCTGATGTTTTGGTCCCTTTTGAATGCTGGCGGTGCTTTCACTCTAGTGGTAGCATGAGACGGAGTCTACAACCCACACAAGTGGCTCAGGTAGTGCAGCTCGTCCAGGATGGCACATCAATGCGAGCTGTGGCAAGAAGGTTTGCTGTGTCTGTCAGCGTAGTGTCCAGAGCATGGAGGCGCTACCAGGAGACAGGCCAGTACATCAGGAGACGTGGAGGATGCCGTAGGAAGGCAACAACCCAGCAGCAGGACCGCTACCTCCGCCTTTGTGCAAGGAGGAGCAGGAGGAGCACTGCCAGAGCCCTGCAAAATGACCTCCAGCAGGCTACAAATGTGCATGTGTCTGCTCAAACGGTCATAAACAGACTCCATGAGGGTGGTATGAGGGCCCGACGTCCACAGGTGGGGGTTGTGCTTACAGCCCAACACCGTGCAGGACGTTTGGCATTTGCCAGAGAACACCAAGATTGGCAAATTCGCCACTGGCGCCCTGTGCTCTTCACAGATGAAAGCAGGTTCACACTGAGCACATGTGACAGACGTGACAGAGTCTGGAGACGCCGTGGAGAACGTTCTGCTGCCTGCAACATCCTCCAGCATGACCGGTTTGGCGGTGGTTCAGTCATGGTGTGGGGTGGCATTTCTTTGGGGGGGGCCGCACAGCCCTCCCTGTGCTCGCCAGATGTAGCCTGACTGCCATTAGGTACCGAGATGAGATCCTCAGACCCCTTGTGAGACCATATGCTGGTGCGGTTGGCCCTGGGTTCCTCCTAATGCAAGATAATGCTAGACCTCATGTGGCTGGAGTGTGTCAGCAGTTCCTGCAAGAGGAAGGCATTGATGCTATGGACTGGCCCGCCCGTTCCCCAGACCTGAATCCAATTGAGCACATCTGGAACATCATGTCTCGCTCCATCCACCAACGCCACGTTGCACCACAGACTGTCCAGGAGTTGGCGGATGCTTTAGTCCAGGTCTGGGAGGAGATCCCTCAGGAGACCATCCGCCACTAATCAAGAGCATGCCCAGGCGTTGTAGGGAGGTCATACAGGCACGTGGAGGCCACACACACTACTGAGCCTCATTTTGACTTGTTTTAAGGACATTACATCAAAGTTGGATCAGCCTGTAGTGTGGTTTTCCACTTTAATTTTGAGGGTGACTCCAAATCCAGAACTCCATGGGTTGATACATTTGATTTCCATTGATACTTTTTGTGTGATTTTGTTGTCAGCACATTCAACTATGTAAAGAAAAACGTATTTAATAAGATTATTTCATTTATTCAGATCTAGGATGTGTTGTTTAAGTGTTCCCTTAATTTTTTTGAGCAGTGTACAAAGTTAGCTTTTACACTCTAGAAACATGATTTAAGTGTTCCCTGAAGTCTACGGATTACACTATGATATACTGTCACTTAAGAAATGCGACAGGAATACTGCCCTGTACAAGTCACTATGTAAAACCAGCAGGGACAGAAGTAACCCATTTTAGCTAAATCCCTTTATGATGACCACAACACTTCTACAAAAAGCCAGGATATGTCCCAATAAAGCTATAGTGCCGTTGCAAATGTAACCTTTACACTCTCAGGCAGCAGTTTTCCAAAATGCCCACCAACTAGTTCCATGGTGCCAAATAGGACAGGTTTCACATAGCAGTATTTCAATAAATAATTGCTACATAACGCCCAATGATGGCTTAACATTTTTTTGTTTATTGAGAACACAATATTATGGCCTAAATATGCCATACAGTGCTTTCAGAAAGTATTCACACCCCTAAACGTTCCACAATTTGATGTGTTATAGCCTGAATTTAAAATTGAACAAATTGAGATGTTTGGTCACAAGCCTACACACAATACCCCGTAATTTCAAGGTGGAATTGTTTCTCAAAATTGTTACTAATTAATACAAAATTAAAAGCTGAAATGTTTTGAGTTAATAGGTATTCTACCCCTTCATTATGGAAAGCCTAAATAAGTTCAGGAGTATAAATGTGCTTAACAAGTCACAGAAGTTGCATGGAAGCACTCTGTGTGCAATAATAGTGTTTAACATGATTTTTGAATGACTACCTCATCTCTGTACCCCACACATACAGATAAATGTAAGGTCCCTCAGTGAAGCAGTGAATTTCAACCACAAAGACCAGGGAGGTTTTCCAATGCCTCACAAAGGAGGGCACCTATTGGTAGATGGGTAATAATAAATTAAAAAGCGGACATTGAATATTCCTTTGGGCATGGTGAAGTTAATAATTACACTTTGGATGATGTATCAATGTACCCATTCACTACAAAAGATACAGGCGTCCTTGCTAACTCAGTTGCCAGAGAGGAATGAAACTGCTCAGGGATTTCACAATGAGGCCAATGGTGACTTTAAAACAATTCGAGTTTAATGTCTGATGGGAGAAAACTGAGGAAGGATCAACAACATCGTAGTTACTCCACAATACTAACCTAATTGACAGAGTAAAAAAAAGGAAGCCTGTCCAGAATAACATGCATCAAGGCACTAAAGTACTACTGCAAAAAAAGTGGCAAAGCAATTAACTTTTTGTCCTGAATACAAAGTGTTATGTTTGTGGAAAACCCAATATAACACATTACGGAGAACCACACTCCATATTTTCAAGCATAGTGGTGGCTGCATCATGTTATGGCTATGCTTGTAATCGTTAAGGACTGGGGAGATTTTCCCCAGGAAAAAAATAAATAAAAAAAAGACCTGGTTCGGTCTGCTTTCCACCAGACACTGGGAGATGAATTCACCTTTCAGCAGGGCAATAACCTAAAACACAAGGCCAAATCTACACTGGAGTTGCTTGCCAAGAAGACTGAATGTTCCTGAGTGGCCAAGTTACAATTGACTTAAATATGCTTGGAAATCTATGGCAAGACTTGAAAATAGCCATCTAGCCATGATTCCCAACATCTGGACAGAGCTTGAAGAATTTTTTTAATAATAAAAATGGGTTATAAATCGAGTTGTCCGTTCGAGTACTTTAGTTCTTGATTACTCTTGCCCATCCCTAATACCAAATCGAACAATATGGTATTTTCAGGGAGCTTATCTACTGGACTATACACTCACCGGACAGTTTATTAGGCACACCAATTTAGTACCAGGTCAGACCCCACTTTGCCTCCAGAACAGCCTGAATTCTTCGAGGACGTGTATTCTACAAGTCTGAAACATTCCACAGGGATCTTGGTCCATGCTGACGCAATGGCATCATGCAGTTGCTGCAGATTGGACAGTGGTACACCACCTCCACCAGCCTGTATCGTTGACACCAGGTAGGATGGGTCCATGGACTCATGCTGCTTACGCCAAATCCTGACTCTGCCATCAGCATGAAAGCAACAGGAACCGGGATTCGTCAGACCAGGCAATGGGCATGCAATCACTGTTGGTGATTGCATGCCCACTGCCATTTTTTTGAACGGGGTGGTGTACCTAATAAACGTGACTTATCACACATTTTGTTGTGTTACAGTCTGAATTCAAAACGGATTACATTGTTTCTCACACATCTACAAACAATATGCCATAACGACAAAGTGAAAACATGTTTTTAGAAATCTTTTCAAATGTATTAAGAATGAAATACAGAATTTTCTTTACATAAGTATTCACACCGCAGAGTCAATACATTTATAAATCACTGTTGCAAACAATTACAGCTGTGAGTTTTTCTGGGTAAGTCCAAGAGCTTTGCACACCTGGATTGTACAATATTTGCATTTATTTTTATATTCTTCAAGCTCTGTCAAGTTGGTTGTTGATCATTGCTAGACAGCCATTTTTAAGTCTTGCCATAGACTTAAGCCGATTTAATAAAAAAAAAACTTAACTAGGCCATTCAGAAACATTCAACGTCATCTTGGTAAGCAACTACAGTGTATATTTGGTCTTGTGATTTAGGTTACTGTCCTGCTGAAAGGTGAATTTGTCTCCCAGTGTCTGTTGGAAAGCAGAACAGGTTTTTGTCTAGGATTTTGCCTGTGCTTAGCTCTTCATTCCATTTATTTTTGTCAACCAAAATAAACCCCTAGTCCTTGCCGATGACAAGCATACCCATAACATGATGCAGCCACCACCATGTTTGAAAATATGAAGAGTGGTGGGTTGCGTTGGATGGGTTTGCCCCAAACATAACGCTTTGTATTCAGGACATGAAGGTAATTCCTTTGCCAATTTTCTTTGCAGTTTTAATTTAGTGCCTTATTGCAAACAGGAAGCATGTTACGGAATATTTGTATTCAGTACAGACTTCCTCCTTTATGCTCTGTCATTTAGGTTAGTATTGTGGAGTAGCTACAACGTTGTTGATCCATCCTCAGTTTATCCCTAACACAGCCATTAAAACGCTAACTGTTTTAAAGTCACCATTGGCCTCACGGTGAAATCCTTGAGCACTTTCCTTCTTCTACGGCAACGGAGTTAGGAAGGACGCCTGTATCTCTGTAGTGACTGTGTGTTGACACACCATTCAAAGTGTAATTAATTACGTCACCATGCTCAAAATGATATTCAATGTCTGCTTCATTGATTTATACACATCTACGAATAGGTGCCCTTCTTTGCGATGCATTGGAAAACCTCCCTGGTCTATGTGGTTTAATCTGTGCTTAAAATTCACTGGTCGATGGAGGAACCTTACAGATAATTGTATGTGTAGGGTAGAGAGATGAGGTAGTCATTCAAAGATCATGTTAAATACTATTATTGACCACAGAGTGAGTAAATGCCATTTATTGTGTGACTTAAGAAAGTTTTTACCACTGAACTTACTTAGGCTTGCCATAACCAAAGGGGATGAATGTTTGCTAATTTATTAAAAATAAAACTGAAATACCTTATTTACATAAGTATTCAGAACCTTTGCTATGAGACTCGAAATTGAACTCCGGTGCATCCTGTTTCCATTGATCATCCTTGAGATGTTTCTACAACTTGGAGTCCACCTGTGGTAAATTCAATTGATTGAACATGATTTGTAAAGGCACACACCTGTCTATAGTGCATGTCAGAGCAAATACCAAGCCATGAGGTCGAAGGAATTGTCACTAGAGCGCCGAGACAGGATTGTGTCGAGGAACAGATCTGGGGAAGGGTACCAAAAAATGTCAGCAGCATTGAAGGTCCCCAAGAACACAGTGGCCTCCATCATTCTTAAATGGAAGAAGTTTGGAACCACCAAGATTCTTCCTAGAGCTGGCCGCCTGGCCAAACTGAGCAGTCAGGGGAGAAGGGCCTTGGTCAGGGAGGTGACCAAGAACCCGATGGTCACTCTGACAGAGCTCCAGAGTTCCTCTGTGGAGATGGGATAAATTTCCAGAAGGACAACCATCTCTGCAGCACTCCACCAATCAGGCCTTTATGGTAGAGAGTGGCCAGACGGAAGCCACTCCTCAGTAAAAGGAACGACAGCCCGCATGGACTTGGTCTGATGAAACCAAGATTGAACCCTTTGGCCTGAATACCAAGCGTCAAGTCTGGAGCAAACCTGCCACCACCCCCAAGGTGTAGCATGGTGGTGGCAGCATCATGCTGTGGGGATGTTTTTCAGTGGCAGGGACTGGGAGACTAGTCAGGCTCGAGGGAAAGATGAATGGAGCAAAGTACAGAGATGGAAACCTGTTCCAGAGCTCTCAGGACCTCAGACTGGGGCGAAGGTTCACCTTCCAACAGGACAACGACCCTAAACACACAGCCAAGACAACGCAGGAGTGGCTTCGGGACAATTCTCTGAATGTCCTTGAGTGGCCCAGCCAGAGCCCGGACTTGAACCCGATCAAACATCTCTGGAGAGACCTGAAAATAGCTGTGCAGCGACGCTCCCCATCCAACCTTACAGAGCTTGAGAGGATCTGCAGAGAAAAATGGGAGAAACTCCTCAAATACAGGTGTGCCAAGCTTGTAGCTTCATACCCAAGAAGACTGTAATCGCTGACAAAGGTGCTTCAACAAAGTACTGAGTAAAGGGTTTTGAATCCTTACGTAAATGTATTATTTCTGATTTATTTTTTAAACCTCTTTTTGCTTTGTCATTATGAGTTATTGTATGTAGATTTACGAGGGGGGGGGGGGGGGGTTCAATTTAATCAATTTTGGAATAAGGCTGTAACATAACAAAATGTGGAAAAAGTCAAGGGGTCTGAATACTTTCCGAATGCACTGTGTGTGTGTGTGTGTGTATATATATATATATACACACACACACACACACACACACACACACACATACAGTACCAGTTAAAAGGTTGGACACATCTACTCATTCAAGGGTTTTTCCTTTATTTTTGTACTATTTTCTACATTGTAGAATAATAGTTTAGACATCAAAACTATTAAATGTAGTAACCAAAAAAGTGTTCAAAATATATTTCATATTTGAGATTCTTCAAAGTAGCCACCCTTTGCCTTGACAGCTTTGCACTCTTGGCATTCTCTCAACCAGCTTCATGAGGTAGTCACCTGCAATGCATTTTAATTAACAGGTGTGCCTTCTTTAAAGTTAATTAGTGGAATTTATTTCCTTCTTAATGCGTTTGAGCCAATCAGTTGTGTTGTGACAAGGTAGGGGGGGGGGTATACAGAAGATAGCCCTATTTGGTAAAAGACCAAGTCCAAGAACAGCTCAAATAAGCAAAAAGAAACGACAGTCCATCATTACTTTAAGACTTGAAGGTCAGTCAATCTGGAACATTTCAAGAACTTTTAAAGTTTCTTCAAGTGCAGTCGCAAAAACCATCAAGTGCTATGAAACTGGCTCGCATGAGGACCGTCACAGGAAAGGAAGACCCAGAGTTACCTCTGCTGCAGAGGATACGTTCATTAGAGTTAACTGCACCTCAGATTGAAGCCCAAATAAATGCTTCAGAGTTCAAGTAACAGACACCAACTGTTCAGAGGAGACTGCGTGAATCAGGCCTTCATGGTCGAATTGCTGCAAAGAAACCACTATTAAAGGACACCAATAAGAAGAAGAGACTTGCTTGGGCCAAGAAACATGAGCAATGGACAATAGACCGGTGGAAATCTGTCCTTTGGTCTGATGAGTCCAAATTTGGTTCCAACTGCCGTGTCTTTGTGAGACGCAGAGAAGGTGAACGGATGATTTCCGCATGTGTGGTTCCCACCGTGAAGCATGGAGGTGGTGGTGTGATGGTGCTTTGCTGGTGACACTGTGATTTATTTAGAATTCAAGGCACACCTAACCAGCATGGCTACCACAGCATTCTGCAGCAATACACCATCCCATCTGCTTTGCACTTAGTGGGACTATCATTTGTTTTTCAACAGAACAATGATCCAAAACACATCTCCAGGTTGTGTAAGGGCTATTTAACCAAGAAGGAGAGTGATGGAGTGCTGCATCAGATGACCTGGCCTCCACAATAACCCGACCTCAACCCAATTGATATTGTGTGGGATGAGTTGGACCGCAGAGTGAAGGAAAAGCAGCCAAAAAGTGCTCAGCATATGTGGGAACTCCGTCAAGACTGTTGGAAAAGCGTTCCTCATGAACGTTCCTCATGCAAAGCTGTCATCAAGGCAAAGGGTGGCTACTTTGAAGAATCTTAAAACACTTTTGGTTACTACATGATTCCATGTGTTATTTCATAGTTTATGTCTTCACTATTATTCTACAACGTAGAAAATACGAAAAATAAAGAAGAACCCTTGAATGAGTAGGTGTCCAAACTTTTGACTGGTACTGTATATACAGTCATGTGAAAATAAGTACACCCCCTGGAAAGCGATTTGTTTTTACATATTTGGACACATGGAAACTGAGCTAAATTCCCACCACATTCATTGATAAAGGTAACCCGATTTAACAAATCACACAAAAAAATGTATAATTTAAAATGTTATGCAATTAAAATAAACAAAAATGCCTTTTCCTTATGCGGAAAAAGTTAGTACACCACTACATTTACCATCACATAAAATGGCTAAAATTAGAATCAGGTGCACCAAAACAGGTGCAAATGGTTAGAAAATCATTAGAGGGTCCAGCCTTCCATAAAGATTAGAAACTTGGTCTGGTTTGGCCTTAATCATATAGGTGTGTGGTAACACATCATGCCAAGATGAAAATACCTACCCAAGGCCCTCAGAAGAAAAGTTATTGATGCCCATGAGTATGAGAGGGGTTACAAACCCATTTCCAAGCAATCCCTACCCCACCCCTCATAAAATAAAAGTGATTGTCCCACTGGCTATCATAAGTTGAATGAACCAGTTTGTAAGTTGCTCTGGATAAGAGCGTCTGCTAAATGATGTAAATGTATATCATTCCACTGTCCAACGGCTCACCTACAAATAGAGAAAATTCCAGAACACTGGCAATCTACCTAGGACAGGTTGTCCCACCAAATTCAGCCCAAGAGCTGACCGAAAGATGCTCATAGAAGTCTCTAAGAAACCCAGGGTAACATCAAGCGATATACAGGCCTTTCTTGCCACAATCAATGTCGAAGTGCATGAGTCAACTGTCAGAAAGAGACTGCACAAACTTGGCCTGCATGCGAGGTCAGGAAGGAAGCCTCTGCTCTCAAAAAAGAATATCAAGACAACTGACGTTTGCCAGGCAACATGTGCTCTGGACAGGTGAGTCAAAGGTGGAGTTGTTTGGCCACAATGCCAGACGCCATGTTTGGCGAAAACAAAACACTGCCTTTGAACAGAAGAACCTCATGCCAACCGTAAAGCATGGAGGCGGTGGCATTATGGTTTGGGGCTGCTTTGCTGCCTCAGGGCCTGGCCAACTTGCCATCATTGAGTCAACCATGAATTCTATATTGTACTAGAGAATTTTTGAGGAAAATGTGAGGCCATCTGTCAAAAAGCTGAACCGAACATGGCTATTGCAATTGGACAATGATCCAAAACACAAAAGCAAAGCTACAACAGAATGGCTCAAAAATAAGAAATGGCGGGTTATGGAATGGCCGAGTCAAAGCCCAGATCTCAATCCTATCGAAATGCTGTGGGGGGACTTGAAGCGGGTCGTGCATGCAAGAAAACCCTCGAACATGACGCAGTTGAAGCAGTACTGTAAAGAAGAGTGGGCAAAAAGTCCTCCCAGTCGATGTAATAGACTGATAGACAGTTACAAGAAATGTCTACATTTCGTTATTTCAGCTAAAGGGGGCAACACAAGCTATTGAAGCTAGGGGTGTACTTATTTTTTCCGCACCATGGAATTGCATTTCTGTTGATTTTTGATGAATAAATGATTGCAAAGTATAATCTTTCAGTGTCATTTGTTAAATTAGGTTACCTTTATCTGTCAAGTGTTTAAGTGAAGATTACACATCTCATCTGTCCAAATATGTAAAGATTTAAAAAAAATAAGACACTTTCCAGGAGGTGTACTTACTTCTTCACATGAGAGCTGTCTGCTTCATTCTCAAATACAGACATGGCAGTCCTCCAACCCCCAATCAGGGGAGACTCCTCCAACTGATTAGCAGATGGGTGGGTTTGGGGGCACGGGCTTGTTGAGTTATAATGACCTACATTTCTCCATGTCTGGAGGCAGAGACCCCTGCCTTTCCGCAACAATACACAGCCTGCCTGCCCTATAGCCACAAACATCTCATAAATAAACATACATAAGATATACACCTAAATTAGCAAAGACAGATATTAGGGATAGGCATTTGAAATGTTTTCACTATTCGAATAATATCAAAATGTATTTATAAAGCCCTTTTTACATTAGCAGATATCATGATATTTTTTAAGCTATCCGGATAGTCGGAACATATATTAAAGCATGTCTTTTTTTTTTTTTTTACTTCAATGGAGACTTGTTAGCCAGACTCGAGTAGCAGGGGCCGGTGTGTGTGTGTGTGTGGCAGAGAGAGTGCGAGTGAGTAGCCAAACAGACTTGCGCTAGTTAGACAAACTTGTTGCTGCCATAGGTTATTTATCATACCATCTGGTAGTGCCTGTCTTGACTGCATCAAATCGTTGTAAATAAGCTAGCTAGCTACAGTAGCAAGGCTAATTGAGGCTATTTTGCTGTGCTCCCTGTACTTGTCTACAACAACTCCATTCATGAGAAACAACAGGCTCTCTGTTAATCAATAATTTAGCAATTGGATTTCCATTTAGAAATATCCAACTTCACTTTCTCATATGGAGCCTTTGACTGTAGCACCACTTTCATTGACCGACAAGAACAACAAGCTAAAGGTGTAAAACGCGTGTAGGCTACCGGTGCATCTTTTTTATGGGGCGCATTCAAACTGCTGTTTTAACATTTCTTATGTCATGGTCTATCCCTGTAGGCTATGTAGCAATGTCACAGATTATTTTATACAAAGCTTTTTCATTGTTAAAATAGGCCTTATTTTATTGATTTTTTCAAAAATGAATACTCTCCAAGTAATGGAATAATAATTTCAGTTTGAATATTCGAATAACCGTGCCCATCCCTAATAGAGATAGCTGGAAGATAATTCATCAACAGTTGTCAGTGCAGTATGTATGTGATATTGAGAAATCCCCTAAAGTGATGCAGCAGTTTAACTCACTGCTAATACTTGAAGGGCAGTAGAGAATGCCAACCCACGCCAATAGTGCCACTCTAAAACGTTAATACCAGAGTGCCAAGTAGAGACTGCAGAAAACTCAATGACAAGCAAAAAATTGCAACTGCAAGTGTTTTTCTAAATCATGACACTAAACACAATTGATAATGGAATGCGTGTCAACATATTGCCCAAACAGACAAATAGCCTAAACAAGCAAACTCAATTATGTAAGAGATATCATTACCTTAACCAAAACAACAAGTTAGTTTACCCTCTCCCAAGAACTGTGAGATATTGTATGCGTTTAGCCATTGACACATTGATGTATGGGCTTTTTCAATCTTAATGTGTTGTATTGACACCAACAATCTAAATTGGGCAGCAGTGAATGGTCAGTAGCCCAACCGGTTAATCCAGAGTGTAGCATAGATGGACAAGACCCAGTCTTTCAGCAACTAAAGACAGGGAGTGCCAAATAACCATCACACAAAATTAACAGGCACACAAGGGGCCTTATGTGGAGCTAAGATTTCTGCAGAGCTAAGGATAATCAGTGTAGCCTAGACATTATTGATGCTTAAAAGAGACGAGAATGCGATCCTCAGCGCAACAGCACTGCGCGCACACAGACCACAACACTTGTGACTGTCAATTACTTCCTTTGCTTAATATGAAGGCTCCAAGTACAGATAAATGTTCTGTTTGCCAACAAATTCCATCATTCCCCCTCAAGGACAACTCGTGGAGAAAGAAATTGCTTTTTGGCTCATTCTAATCTGACCCAGAAAATGAAACATAGCTGTAATAAGGCGCTAGTCTGACAAATCTTCACAGGCATTTGGCGCAAAATATAAACACGCATCACAAAAGCAGAGCGCTCACCAAACCTACAAAATGTACCAATTTCTATCTAGACAAAAAGACGAAGGCATGATTACAAATTAACCTAAAGGAGCACCAAAAAAAAGGCACACAGAAAGAGCGCAGAGCTGGCAACACACATGCACCATATGGTCTTGGAGACAGACACCTGGCAGTGTGTGTGTATGACCATGTGACTGTGTGTTGGTGTGTGTAGAAAGCCTGGTCTGACCGGCAGCAGGGCCATGCACACAATGCCATTCATTCAGCGTTCATTCATTCTCCCCCTCCGCCTGCCGCTCTGTGGATGTAAGTGAGCTCGCAGGGAGGGGTGGTTGATAATGCTGCAGGACCCCACCCAGCCCCCTGCCACACAAGCTCCAGAGCAATCCATCTCACACACACAATACTAGAAGAGACCACAACGACAAAAATGCTAAACCAAATAGCAGATTTGTACTCTGTCATATCCATCTACCCCTGCCTCCTCCTCCCCTCCTCCCTCTCGCCCCAGAAAAAAAAAAAAAAGACATTCATCCTTCTAACCTTGCATGCTGCAGTTGACCAGCCTTTCTTCCTCTCCTTCTCCACTTACAGTTACTGTCAGAATGCTTTCACTTGGCACAATCCCAGGCAAACACCCTCCTCCTTCTGCCTGCCCCCTGCTCCAATCAGAGGGAGGAACAATTCAGCCTTAACCAACCAAAACAAAGCTTTTTAGCATTGAGACGCTAGGTTAGGTAGTCCTGCATGTGAGCCATTTGTGGACAAAAAATGAATAACTTGTGTGGGACTTTTATTTTGACACGAGGTAAGCAGAGAGGAAGTGGCAGATACTTGATATGCAGTAAACTAGATTCATAATAAAGTGTATAATATGCCAAATGCTATTGAAGAAAAAATAACAATAAAACATAGCCCAACCACGTGTAAAACCTTGAATGACTTTTTCTAATAAATAAAAAAATATAAAAAAGGCCCAGTGCTTTCAGAACTGTGATTTTCCTGTAGTAGATAGATCTATCTACATATATCCACACTGGTTGGAATAATACTGTGAAAATGATGATAATGCCCTTTAAGTGTAAGAGCAGTTTGAAAAGACCACCTGAAATTTCAGCCCGTTTTGGTGTGATGGAGTTTTGGCCTGCCGCAGTAAATTAGTTAATATACCAATAAGAAAGACTTCCAAACCTCTGTCAATAACAGCAAACCCAGCAGCTGATTGATGGAGGCCACTGTGTTCTTGGGGACCTTCAATGCTGCAGAAATGTTTTGGTACCCTTCCCCAGATCTGTGCCTCGACACAATCCTGTCTCTGAGCTCTACAGACAATTCCTTCCACCTCATGGCTTGGTTTTTGCTCTGACATGTACATGTGTGGGACCTTACATAGACAGGTGTGTGCCTTTCCAAATAATGTCTAATCAATTGAATTTACCACAGGTGGACTCCAATCAAGTTGTAGAAACATCTCAAGGATGATCAATGGAAACAGGATGCACCTGAGCTCAATTTTGAGTCTCATAGCAAAAGGTCTGAATACTCATGTATATAAGTTGTTTGTTTTTAATACATTTGCAAACATTTCTAAAAACCTGTTTTTGTTTTGTCATTATGGGGTACATTTTAGAATAAGCCTGTAAAGTAACAAAATGTGGAAAAGGTGAAGGGGTCTGAATACTTTTCGAATGCACTCCTGTTTGTTATCAATGTATGTAACCTAAACAGACAGTAATGACTTGACAAAGGCAACATGTAGAAGGACCACAGGCAGGCACCCTCCCTCTTTTGCTGTTTATGTAATTAGATCAGTTATTGAATCAGTCATTGAGAACCCTTCCCTTCACAAATTGGGCAGGAGTATAACACTGGTCGCATTCACCTGCTCAGATGCTGCATGCATTAATCAACTGTTGCGTGTCACTTAATCGACTGTTTCATCAATTGACAGATTGCCATAACATATGCGGTTAGTTTATACGTAAAATCTGGCATTTGTCAGTCACGCCTGGGCAGAGGAATGCTCCCATTGTCTGCCATAATGAAGTCAAGCACAACTTCATGCTGTCCATCACCTATTTATGTCTATGGTCAATCATCAGGCCATTCTACATTGGAGATTTAAAAAATCAGATTTTCAAGAATCCTTATCTATGTTCGCTAGCTACAGAAGCTTGTACACGTGGATTGTCAGTCCCTAACATACGGGGGGAAAGTATGTAACGTTAACGTTACTGACCTTCACAAATGCGGTCCAGCCTCTGTCGCTTGACTTTGTGCTTATCCATGAGAGCCATCGGCGTTCTTCACCCCAGCCAAAGCACAAACAGACCAGACCAAAGCCAAAGGCTTAGCTGTGAGGCACAAGACAAATAGTCAAAACATCTCTCGGGGAACAATGGTGTACCGGTAAAAACCTGTAGACTAAATAAAATGAACAGCGTTTCAATATCTATCTAAATGAGTTAACGTTACGTGACAGGCTTAGCTACCATTCATAAAGTTGCTAGCCACGAGACTAGACGTAGCTATGGCTAATAAAGTTGACTTATCTCTGCTTGGATTTTTATTTTTTACTAACTAACTATTTTAGTTAACCCTAGCTAGTTAGCATCATTTTCCACTGCTGGCAAGAGCCAACACAGCTAATTAGGGGCTAACTACCTAACTCTTTTATTTCCATAACTTTCACACTATTCTGGCTTCTTAGTTAACGTTGACTAGCTAGCAAATAACGCAAAACACAAGCTCCAGTTTATGTAGCTAGCTAAATAATTTACAAATTACTTAACGTTAGCTAGGTACTTTAGCTGGCTATATGTTGTTAGCGAGTTGGATAACTGTTAGCAGCCTAACTAACGTTAGCTAGCTAAAAAGTAGTAAGCTAGCCTAACAATTCAAAGTCGGTAGCCAAGAAAGTCGTGTGGCTAACAAGGCTAGTTAGCGTACCTAACACCAAGCAAACGTGATACTGTTCGCGAAAACAGGCCTGTTTTACAAAGCTATCAGCTAGCTAGTAAGCTAATAAAGCTAGCTAGCACTGATAAAATACAGGCATACATCAACACACAAGTTCAGGCGGCGAAAAACTATTTTTTGCTTCAATAGAATAATAAGACGACGACTACGGAGCAGTAACATTGCTGTTGGATCAGATCAGAGCACTAATCGGTAACGTTAGCTAGCTACGGTTAATTCATTACCAAGTAGTGCAGGTTCTGTTCTTAGTGCTGTGGGGTCAAAATGAGGTGATGTCTTCTCACTGATCGGCTAGTCATGAATCCAACAGTTTGTTCAGAAGAGTCAGGTGACGGACGAGTCACCGAATGAAGAGAAGCCTCGATAAACCGCTGTTAGTTGAGTGTGGCGCCTTCACGTAACACAGGGGTATTGCATCCGACTCTGATTGGTCAGGGACCACATTTGAGGGTGATTAGTTTTTTTAAAGATGGCAAAGATCATAATGTATTCTCAACCACAGGCAGGCTGCTACTTCCGTTTCCCATTTATTGCCCAATTTAATCGCAACAGTTCAAGTGATTTTAGTGGAGGGCAGTCACAGAAAGGACAAGAGCGGACTCTATTACTGAGCTACTTGAGGATGAGGAGCATCAGATGCAGGGTATTTCTGACGTCATGGCATTATGTTCCATCATCACTCACTGCCACTAATGGTGGACAGTGATAGATGGGGGCTACTCATTCATGGTGGATGTGGACTGATACCTGACATGCATGCCTGAGATCAAGCATGTATACACACATTATTTCAATAATATTTTCAAAAAAGCTCACTGGACACTTCCCTTTCCTTGTAAAATAATTTCCAATAAACTTTATTTATTCAAAACGGAGTTTGAAATTGCCATCTTTTTAACACATACAATAAAAAACATCTCTAAAAGACAGCAATGGCCTGCCCCAGGTCTCCCAGCTACCATCTTTACACAACTTGTTTTCAACAAATGATCGCTGTATAATACAATATTACAATGTGCCCTCAGAATAGTGGTTGCTTCCATTTTTATGTTTTTGTTTAACTTGTCAAACAGTGCATTCATTATCAATGTCTATACATCTCTATTTTCAGAGGATGAGTCGTATAGATAAAAAATATAAAATAAAAGAAACTGCAGAAAAGAAACAATGAAAGGACTAATATCTACACAATTAATTTCCTTTTCATAGTTGTATTTTTTTGTTTACAGAACAAATATGGTGTCTTAAGGCTTATGCTGAATCATATGGATTCTTTCCCAGAAACTAATAGGACCGCAGAAAGAAAACTGCAATGCCATACTTTCCTTTTGCATCAAACTGAACAAAACACAGATATTCAATTCACCACCATCATTCAAGAAAGTCTAGTCTTACTACTGTACCAAAAAAAGGCAATTGAGAGGAAAGTCATGTAAAAGAAAGAAAGCAACCAGAAGCGTGTTAGTCTTCCCAAATTCCATCCTAGTCTGTGAAGGTGCATTAAGAAGACATCCAACACACTACGGGAATAGCTGGCATCTCCAGCATTCAGATTATTCACAAGAATGTTTCAGCAACTGTTTCTGGAATGTACTCTGATGGAAGGACAGCATCCATGGCTACCTGAATTAATTGTTATTATTGGTAGAAGTCAAATCATGACCATTGTCAATGAGATTATATATACCCCAGCTCATCCCATGAGAGAGAAGTCGTGTTCCTGAGAGCCCTGCCGATGAAGTGTAGCAGGGTGGAGTGTTGAATGCTGGCGGTAAAGGGGAAAGATTTTAATTTTCTTCAATTAGGCTCAAATCTAGTTCTGTACAATCCCTCTCAAAGACACTCGGCTGACACTCTTCTCGATCAGGGTCTTCCTCCCCCTCTTCCCCCTCCTCGTCACTCTCACTTAGAGGTCCAATGCTTGTCCTTCCCAGCCCCTCTGCTGGTGAACACGACCCTCTGAAGTCCCCCAAAAAAGGCTCAAAGCCCATGCAAACATCCCCTCCACAAGCCAGCCTCCCACGCTCCATACCACTCAAGGGGTCTGTACTGCGAGTCTGAAAATACACAAATAGGATAAACATTTAAGAGAGAACAAGGCCTTGTTTACACATGTATCATCCCTCTCTAAAAAGACAAGAGCAGTCTACATTCTGGACTGCATTCAAACCACATGTTCTCTATTCATGATACAGAAATAGGTAAAGGGTTGCTCCATATGATTTCAATCACTTTCTGACTGCACCCCTTTTTTATTTGAACAAAACCTTCCATGGTAGAAGTGGTCAGAAAGTTTTTGGACCTGAATGCCAAAACATTCAGGAGATAGAGGTGCTCAAAGTTGACCCATTTTGCAAACCCACCCTACCATGAGACATCCATGTCGTCATGACTTGAAAATAAATTACCTAAACTTAAGATGGCGGCGTACACATTGTTGGATTTTTTTCACGGAGCAAAAAAATATATTTAAATAACAGAGCATTTTCTAAATTAAAAAAATGGACCCCCTGCAACTAGACAAGGACATTGAGACTCCTGTTTCCACGAATCGAGGATGAAGACAGTATCGCCAAGGTTGGTAGAAAATTATCTGTGCTACACCAAACAGTACCTAACCTAAATGGATAGCCAATTTTTTGGGTTAAATCACAATATCTGGTGTTACAATCTGTAGCTAATGTTTTGGTTGATAAATGAACTAAAACGTGAATAAAATTGTAATTTCAACTTTCAAATGGTACCACAAAGATGGTTGGAGGTCCACACATCAGATAACGTTGACTTGAGTGGGAATATCCATTGTTTAAAATTAAACTGTCAATCTTCCATAGAAAACCTATTGAAATCATTGAAATATAGACATTTTCATTAAATGTTGACATTCAACGGTGGGTGGACTGGTGGCCATCTTTCTGGTAGTAATTTAAACATAAAAATTAAATTAAATGTCAATAGTGTACCAGCTAAATTGAAGTTGTCTGAAGGGATAGGTCCATTCTATGAATTCTGTTTCTATGAATGAAATGACACCCACCAGGTACTCAAGAGAATGCTGCATCTCAACCGATGACGGTAAAATAGGCTATGTAAATATTTTTCAGTAATGAAAACATGGATGATGTCTCATGGTAGGGTGGGGTATGCAAAACAGGTCAACTTTGAGCACCTCTATCTCCTGAATGTTTTGGCACTCCGGTCCAAATGTCCCTTTCTGACCACTTCTACCATGGGCAAACTTGAATGGAAGGTTTCGTTCAAATCTAAAGGGGTGCAGTCAGAAAATTATTGAATTCATATGGAACAACCCAAATCAAATGAAACCAAGTTGATATAACTGGTTAGGAAGTGGGAAAATGAAGCATCATACATAATCTTTCTGATTCTTACAACATGGGCGCAGAAGTTTAGTTTGTCACATTTGAAAAGAAAATCCTGAACTAACAATAGAAACAAGGGTAATATGATGCCACATCTCCCTGAAAATGAACTGGGCTCGTATTGTTAACTTGAATATATGGGGTTGAACTACCAAATACTGTAGGTGTAAGCCTAGTCTCGTATGCCCGACTCAAACTCTTCTAATAAGCTCTTCCAATGACTGTGGCTGCTGAAAGAGACTATTCTAAACCTAACCAGAACAACTGTTTTACATATACACCACATGTAAAGGATTCGGGCTAAATTAACCTGCAACTTTTAAGTGTAGCGTACCTTGTTTTTTTTAATGTGAGGGGGTGACTGGGTGGGTACACTGAAAAGGGATGCCAGACTTTCTGCAGCTGCATGTAAATTATATGCAAATACATTCAAGAGTGAGTCTTGGTGTACAGTATAACATTGGCCTGGCATTGCCTACATTGAGAGCCATTGGCACCCTGGGGCATGGGAGCAGAAGAGACATCTGTGGCCTGGGACGATGGGTAACAAGAACAATAATACACAGGTGTGGTCTGTATTCTAAGAATGGAGGTATGGGTGAACGTTGCCTCTGCATGTCTATTGATGTTGTAAAGATAAATGGTCCATCTCGCTGACGAAATGGAATGTTTCTTACAGTACGGTTAGACTGTGTGATTTGACAAGTTTAACAAGGATGCTTTTTGAGCCTTAAAGGTAGACTCAGCGATATGACGTCGATGCTAGGGTTGTGCCGAGTAGTCGGACAAAACAAGTATCGTAATGGATATGGGCAATTTTCTGGATACGATTATGATCAGAGTATTTTTTGTAATTATCCATGATCGGAAAAAACGTAATTTTTAGGTGCCAGCATGCATCTTTCTCATGTCATTCAGTCATGTGCGAGGTTTTACGTGGTCTAAATAACTCAACTGGCTAGTTTGCCTGTCTGTAAAGAGAAGGGCGGGATATATGTTGATCCTGCTGCTCTGATTGGAGAGAGTGAAGTTGTATCCGTCCACTCGCATCATCATTTCGGTCTGATCATTTAGATTGTTGCTGCCTGCTACTATAATAAATCGCATGGCGAGGACGTTTGCTATCAAGCTATCAATGTGCATAATATCTAACAAGCGGGGCAAGGGTAGGGAAAAAATATTAAACACTGATGCGCATTCTGACTGAGTTACTGCAAACTTGGCTGCCTGCTGCAAATTGAGGACACACATACACCCATTCGCGCGCTGTTCCTAATCTGCAGGGAGGTATTTTGCCAACATCTACTTAGGCATATTTAAACACTTTAGTTTTTTTTCCGATCACAAGTATCATCCGATATTCAACTGTCAATTTACGGATATGACTAAGAGTACGGCCATGTCGGCACACCCCTAGTAGATGCAGAATGTAAACAGCATAGTGGGTCAATTTCTGCAACAGTAGGGAAGTGGATATTCGACCTGCTGAACAAACATTTAAGATTAGGCATAGGGGTCTAAATTAATTAAGGTTAAAGGTAGACTCAGCAATATGACGTAGGTGCAGAAAATAAACAGCATAGTGGGTCAATTTCCACAACAACTAAGAGCGGTCAAGTTTCGTTTCCCTGGCACTGTTTCCGAATGCTAATGTTTTAGCCTTTGTGGCACAAATCCCATGCATTGCGGTCATATCTTGTCCATAGACTGCTTACAGGGTAAGGAAACCAATATTCCATTATGTAATTTGGGTGAACTATCACTTTAACAACCTTCCTCTGGCTAGGAGAGGGCATGATCCACCTCCACCGATCTACATACAGCAACCATTTCTATTCATTTCCTGACCCTTAAATGATATTTTGTTTACCTGAGTCATCTTGGTGAAATCCAGTACTGGCCGGGCAAATGGTCTGTCTGGGTCACGGCGTCGCTTCAGGCCCGGTTTGAGAAGGAGCAGGTCACAGGGCTGGGAGTGGCAGCGCGGGAGCTGAGGGGGGATGGCCCGGCGAAGCGAGGACGGGGTGCTGCAGGCAGAGGAGGGCGAAGCAGGCACAGCCGGAGGGGGTGCTGCACGCTGCGGTGGAACTGGAGGCGGGGGCAGGAACTGGGCGGCAGCCTCTCTGATAAGGACAGGGGACAGAGAGAAGCGTCGCTGTGGAGGAGGGGGAGGGTGGAGCGGGGACGGAGAAGAGGAGCAGGACGACGGGGAGGGGAAGAAACAGCAGCAGGCGCCTCCTCCAGCAGTGTCACTGGGGTCCCATGGGAAATTCCAGGGCAGTGGGGAGTCAGGGGAGAGAGCAAGGCTAAAGAATGTGGGGCTTGAAGAAGAGTATAGTGAAGAGTTTAGAGACGAGCTAGGAGCACGAAGTGGACAAGGTCCCCCCGCTCCCCCTCCACTGTGGCATTGGCGATTCACAGGTGTCCAGACCCTCGAGGCGCTGGGCCGCCAGGTATAACGGCAGCGTGAAAGGTCCTCTGGCACGGACAGTGAACGACAGTGGCGTTTGGGGGGTGGCGGGGGGGGAGGGGGTGCACCTGGAAAAGACAGGTCTGTCACTGAGGTGCTTGGGACCAGGGGCCGGTGCAGGGCTTCCCCCTCTGCCAGGTGAGTTTCGGGGGGAACCAGAGGGACAGGGCAGGGGGGGAAGCTGGAGCTCAGCACACCCTGCAGGCCAGGCTTGGAGGGAGGGCAGAGCTGCCAATAACTGCTCTCTATGAGAATAAGGAGAAAGATGATACCATTAATTAGAGCTGGGATGATAAACCGAAAATTATCGACATGGACCAAACCGACCACTCAAATATACACTGCTCAAAAAAATAAAGGGAACACTAAAATAACAAATCCTAGATCTGAATGAATGAAATAATCTTATTAAATACTTTTTTCTTTACATAGTTGAATGTGCTGACAACAAAATCACACAAAAATGATCAATGGAAATCAAATGTATCAACCCATGGAGGTCTGGATTTGGAGTCACCCTCAAAATTAAAGTGGAAAACCACACTACAGGCTGATCCAACTTTGATGTAATGTCCTTAAAACAAGTCAAAATTAGGCTCAGTAGTGTGTGTGGCCTCCACGTGCCTGTATGACCTTCCTACAACACCTGGGCATGCTCCTGATGAGGTGGCGGATGGTCTCCTGAGGGATCTCCTCCCAGACCTGGACTAAAGCATCCGCCAACTCCTGGACAGTCTGTGGTGCAATGTGGCGTTGGTGGATGGAGCGAGACATGATGTCCCAGATGTGCTCAATTGGATTCAGGTCTGGGGAATGGGCGGGCCAGTCCATAGCATCAATGCCTTCCTCTTGCAGGAACTGCTGACACACTCCAGTCATATGAGGTCTAGCATTGCCTTTCATTAGGAGGAACCCAGGGCCAACCGCACCAGCATATGGTCTCACAAGGGGTCTGAGGATCTCATCTCGGTACCTAATGGCACTCAGGCTACCTCTGGCGAGCACATGGAGGGCTGTGAGGCCCCCCAAAGAAATGCCAACCCACACCATGACTGACCCACCGCCAAACCAGTCATGCTGGAGGATGTTGCAGGCAGCAGAACGTTCTCCACGGCGTCTCCAGACTGTCACATGTGCTCAGTGTGAACCTGTTTTCATCTGTGAAGAGCACAGGGCGCCAGTGACGAATTTGCCAATCTTGGTGTTCTCTGGCAAATGCCAAACGTCCTGCACGGTGTTGGGCTGTAAGCACAACCCACACCTGTGGACGTCGGGCCCTCATACCACCCTCATGGAGTCTGTTTCTGACCATTTGAGCAGACACATGCACATTTGTGGCCTGCTGGAGGTCATTTTGCAGGGCTCTGGCAGTGCTCCTTCTGCTCCTCCTTGCACAAAGGCGGAGGTAGCAGTCCTGCTGCTGGGTTGTTGCCCTCCTACGGCCTCCTCCACATCTCCTGATGTACTGGCCTGTCTCCTGGTAGCGCCTCCATGCTCTGGACACTACGCTGACAGACACAGCAAACCTTGCCACAGCTCGCATTGATGTGCCATCCTGGATGAGCTGCACTACCTGAGCCACTTGTGTGGGTTGTAGACTCCGTCTCATGCTACCACTAGAGTGAAAGCACCGCCAGCATTCAAAAGTGACCAAAACATCAGCCAGGAAGCATAGGAACTGAGAAGTGGTCTGTGGTCACCACCTGCAAAACCAGTCCTTTATTGGGAGTGTCTTGCTAATTGCCTATAAATGTCCACCTATTGTCTATTCCATTTGCACAACAGCATGTGACATTTATTGTCAATCAGTGTTGCTTCCTAAGTGGACAGTTTGATTTCACAGAAGTGTGATTGACTTGGAGTTACATTGTGTTGTTTAAGTGTTCCCTTTATTTTTTTGAGCTATATATTTTTTTACTATACTAGAGAAATGTGAAGTTTAAAAAAAAGTCTGCTAATTTGGGCAATTGCTAACGGGACATTTGATAGCTACAACATTCAAAGTAGTAGTAGCAGTTAAAAGTATACTAACGTAACTATGGTGCACATTGTTAGACTTATCGTTCTATTTATTTATTGTGATAATTCAGTCAATTTATTGTGATATGGATTTTTGTCCATATCGCCCAGCTCTAACATTAATAGAAACTACTGTTGAGGTTTATTTAATTCAATGATATGTGAGAAAATGGAAAAAAGGCAATTCATTCCTGATACAATGTAGTTGCAGCTTGACACTGGTCCGGAAGCTAATTTCTTACAATTCTATCCATTTTACCATGGAGTTTTGTAGTGTGTATTTAAATAATGTATTCTCGACATTGCTCATTCTAATATTTCTACTACTTTACATCTTAGTTACGCTGTTTATACACACTGCATATATATATATATATATATATATATACACACATACACTGGATTCTTGACAGCTTACTCTAGTATATCTACTGCTGTACATACAGTGCATTCAAAAATAATTCAGACCCCTTCCCTTTTTCCACATTTTGTTACGTTACAGCCTTATTCTAAAATTGATTAAATTAATTTATCAATCTACACACAATACCCAATAATTACAAAGCGAAAACAGGTTTAGAAATTGTTGCAAATGTATTACAAAATAAAAATACCTTACTTACATAAGTATTAAGAGCCTTTGCTCGAAATTGAGCTCAAGTTCATCCTGTTTCCATTGATCATCCTTGAGATGTTTCTACAACTTGATTGGAGTCCACCTGTGGTAAATTCAATTGATTGGACGTGATTTGGAAAGGCACACACCTGTCTATATAAGGTTCCACAGCATGTTAGAGCAAAAACCAAGCCATGAGGTCGAAGGAATTGTCTGTAGAGCTCCGAGACAGGATTGTGTCGAGGCACAGATCTGGGGAAGGGTAACAAAACATTTATGCAGCATTGAAGATCCCCATGAAAACAGTGGCCTCCATCATTCTTAAATGGAATTAGTTTGGAACCACGAACACTCTTCCTAGAGCGGGACGCCCGGCCAAACTGAGAAATCGGGGAAGAAGGGCCTTGGTCAGGGAGGTGACTAAGAACCCAATGGTCACTCTGACAGAGCTCCAGAGTTCCTTTGTGGAGATGGGAGAACCTTCCAGAAGGACAACCATCTCTGCAGTACTCCACCAATCAGGCCTATATGTTAGAGTGGCCAGACGGAAGCAACTCCTCAGTAAAAGGCACATGACAGCCCACTTGGAGTTTGCCAAAAGGCACCTAAAGGACTCTCAGACCATGAGAAACAAGATTCTCTGGTCTGATGAAACCAAGATGTGACGCTTGGCATTCAGGCCAAAGAGTTCTGTCTGGAGGAAACCTGCCACAATCCCTACGGTGAAGCATGCTGCCACCACCATCATACTGTGGGGATGTTTTTCAGCGGCAGGGACTGGGAGACTAGTCAGGATCGAAGGAAAGATGAACGGAGCAAAGTACAGAAAGATCCTTGATGAAAACCTGCTCCAGAGCACTCAGAACCTCAGACTGGGGCGAAGGTTCACCTTCCAACAGGACAACGACCCTAAGCACACAGCAAAGACAACGCAGGAGTGGCTTCGCGACAAGTCTCGATGTCCTTGAGTGGCCCAGCCAGAGCCCGGACTTGAACCCAATCCAACATCTTTGGAGAGACCTGAAAATAGCTGTGGAGCGACGCTCCCCATCAAACCTGACAGAGCTTGAGAGGATCTGCAGAGGAGAATCTCCCCAAATACAGGTGTGCCAAGCTTGTAGCATCATACCCAAGAAGACTTGAGGATGTAATCGTTGCCAAAGGTGCTTCAACAAAGTACTGAGTAAAGGGTCTGAATACTTATGTAAATGTCATATTTCAGTTGTTTATTTTTAATACATTTGCAAAAATGTATAAAAACCTGTTTTTGCTTTGTCATTATGGGGTATTGTGTGTAGCTTGATCAGGGTAAAAAAAAAACAATTTAATCAATTTCAGAATAAGGCTGTAACGTAACAAAATGTGGAAAAAGTCAAGGGGTCCGAATGCACTGTATCACTGAGTCTACCTTTAAGAAGACTCCCTTTGCATGATCAGCCTGAGAAGGTACATGCATGTAATAGATTACGTAATGTGGTTTCCTGTTTGTTAACAAGCTATAGAACCATTTCCCTTCTGTAATTTGGAATTAACCTCCATTAGTCTGTTCTCGTTAACTTGGCACAGTGCAAAGCCAAAGTTGCAATGCCTAATGCAAGACATTGCTGAATAACGGGCTAAGTGGCTTTACTTGTACATACTCACCAGGCATCAATCCATTTGTAGGCCAGCAAATTCCTAGGTTGTTGGGGTCCAGCTGAGACTGGAAGACAGACATGTTCATTTGGAGGAGCAATTGACAGCAAGAGACATAAATGGTCATAAAGCTGAGCACTGTGTTACAATCAAGACAAGGACATGCAAGCAGAGTCATAGGCTGACACAAGTGAAGACACCTTACCACGTTGAGGGCCCTTTGGTGAGCGTTGCTGTCCAGACTACTTTTCTGCAGATGCTCGATGATCAGTGTGACCATGCATGGTTGCGAGGAGCAGGGGGGTGTCCCTCTGTCTGTTCGTCTAATTGTGAGCGGCAGAGCTTCTCTGGCACCTCCACTCCTCCTCTGGGCCAGGTTGCCCTGCCCAGTCTCACTGGGACATGATCATCCCTGTAGTCAGCTCACCTGAACAGTCAAGTCCGACAGCAGGACCACTGTTAGTTTGGAACCACTTTTGTTTTCTCAACAGGAAATGACAGTGCAGGGGTTTTCAAACAGTGGTGGTACCTCTCAAATGCAAAAAAAACTGTTAATGTTTTCGGACATTTGTAATAATCACATATTCATGTTCTGTACAGTTCGCCATATTGACTTTTGGTAAACCCATCACTTTCTCTGTATCTTACGAAGTAGACAAAATAGGCCTAGATGTCAAAATTTGGTATTTTCCAGACCTAGAAGATGGACTGCCATAACTTTAACAGGTCTTTAGATGCTCAACCACTGACCAAACGTGCTCACTGATGTGTTCAGACACACCATCTCTGTGAGTGCAGAAATAATGGTGACAGGTACCTGGGGAAAGCAAGTACAACGACTCAAGGGGCCTGTTGTCCAGGGATGGCCTGCCTGATGCCACTCGGGGTTTATTAAATACCTTCTCAAGATCACTAGGCACATGTCCAACAACCAGAAAATGTAACCAAAAACGAACACCTCAACCAGTAACCTGGATTATGGATACGTGAATTTGAAAAGGGTGCATACTGAGGTCCAATCTGGCAAAGTACCAAGCATGTCATGATATATCAAGAACTGGCATGCTCTTCTTCACTCAATAATAACATTTGCAACGGAACAGATTGAGAAAAAGCTTCTTAGCTAGCCAGGTAGCTACCATTTTGATGAGGGCATTTGGAAAGCAAGAATGATAGCTACATAAATAGTAGATATCTAAATTATGGTATACTTGCTGTCCATTACAAACCTTTCAAATGAGCAATGTGTGGTAGCTAGCTATTCATTCACAATTAGTATATCATCGTTTTGAAGGTCGGTCTAAACCCCTTCACAGAATATGAAGCATTCACTTAGCTAGCTAAGTCAAGATGGCTAACGTTAGCAATAGCAAGCCGCACTGTGACAATCTGATACTAAGTGAGCTCCGTTAGCTAACGCTAATCGTCATTTTATATGGTTAGCAAGCTAGCTAGCTTAGCGTACGTCCATTTAACTGATTATGAAGACAAACACACATACTCACGAAAACACAATAGCTTGTTAGCCTGTAATAAATAAACAATGAATTACCCACTCCCCACTATCCGATTTAATCACTAGCTATTGCATGCATATATTGCTACAGCCTTGGACCGCTGTGCTGTCTCTAGGACGCGTGCTAGCAAAACACGGCCATGCAGAATATGATGCAGCTAGACATTTCAGAGAAATAAAGCTGCTATCAATAACCTTTCTTTGTAACGGCTCCTTGATTAAATGGTCGTTCTTACCTTGACGACCAAGAACACCACCGGACCTCAGACAAGGATTAAATACTGCTCGGGAAGGATAAACCAATTTGGAGCCTGTGCAGCATGCGACTAGCAGCCACACTAGTATCTATGCGTCTCGGATATTATTGACCTATTAAAAGCATAACATGTACCAGACCATTCGTTGATTACAATATCTGGAACATAACATGCACGTCATAATCAACGTGCCATTGAAATATACAAGACATAGTCTTAGAAAAATAGCATAGCGTACAATCAATTCAGTCGTCCATTTAAAATAAATAAAAAAAACGTTCAAGCCAGTGAGCGATTGGAATTTATAAATAACATCACTGCGTGAGAGTGGGCGCATTCAATGATAATTCAAACAAAATATTTAATGTAGTTGACGTGCAATAGCGTAGAATTTTAAAAGCATGGATTACATTTTTTTAAAGGTTGTCAAGTCGCAAGAGTTCATTCATGCTTGAAAATGGCACAACTTTGACTGAACAGACGGAGGGTTATTAGATGGCTATAACGTGTGCTTGTAGTTCGCTATATTAGGATCAGTTAACTTGTGACAAATTGATAGGCCCTGGGACAATTTTACAATCACGCCTTAATACTGGATATGGCACTTTTCATATTACCTACTGAAGGGTCTCGATATCATCCTACCGTACAAGGTATTGGTGAGGCAAGTACAAGAAATAGCGTATACCGTAATCTTGTGGATGCTTTGAATACTGCAGTTAGTGTTGCATGTTGGACGGGCCAAATGAAAGCGCAAGACGTTAGCGCTCAGTCCCAATCCCGGAGACCCATTAAGCCAACTTTGCGGACACTGCCTACATTCCAAACATTTCTATTGTGGATAAATCTCCTGAGAATTGTGTGTGGAAAAAGTTAATTCTCCACATATTCAATTTTGAACACATCTTTATTAATTTCGCTTTGCATCAGTACTCAGGTTGTAACAAATGACAACTGAGAAAATCATTTAAAAAAAACGACAAAACAAAGTGATAGCATATTTCGCATCAACATTCTGTTTTTAGAAAAACATCCGAGGTAGGCAGGAGAGATTGTGCATGAGGCAGTAGAGCCTGACAGTCAGTTGGGTCACAGACTGGTGAACATGGTGAAGTGGATAGTGGGCCAAAAGCAACATAAAGCTTAAGACCTCTTTACTCTTTACAGAGAAAACAGAATTGGCAGGGTGAGAAGAGAGAAACGTTGGTGTTAAAGGGTTGGGCCATGAAGAAAACCTAACATAAATAAAATGTAATTGGGACAGACAAGTAAATAAACAAGTAAATGGTGCAAAAAAGTGAAGAATAATAGTGGGTCCAAATAAACATCTAGGTACACCATTAGTGAAGCATATACTGCTTAAAAAGTGTGTTTGATTCCAAACAATAAGTGTGTAAAAAGGGACCCAAACTGACATTACAAAGTGTGTGGTCAATATTTTACAGCAATCACTTATTTCAGTCAACACAACACCCAGTGTACCCCTGCAAGTCTATTAGGATATACCCCAGAGATATACCACTGTGACTGACAGCCATGATCAGTATGGTTTCCACGGTAGCCGGTCTCCCTGCATGGGCACTTGTTGATCGTGGTCCGTTTCCAGGAGAAATCTCAGCCACCCCAAAACATTCTCTTCAGCTGTTAGGCCACTGCTAAAGGAGTACCCCAAGCCTGGCTTGGATGGGACTTGAGGACCAGACACATCCACCTAAAGAACCAAACCACACAGTGAATGGATGTCTCCAAACAAGAAAATGCCTGCTAACCTAAGAACAGTAAAACTCAGACCTGGGATCCATGGGGCAGCATCCAGGGACTGTTGAATGACATTGCAGCAGGTTTAGGGGTGAAGGGGGCTTTTGAATCTGAAGGCACCCCTCTCCCTTTGGCCCCCTCTTTAACACCACTGTCTTCATATAGCTTGCAATTCATCTGCTCAAGCAACCCCTTCCTGCATATAGTCAAGCAACGATGAGGTCAACTTAAGACAATGAAATACCATTACAAACGTAAAATCACCCAATACCTACAGTTGGTCAACAGGGTCCTGTCCTTCCAGTCCCTTGGCTTCTCTCTGCGCTTTAGATGGAGGGTCCCACCCATGCAGAGCTCTCCGCCAAAGACGAACCTGCATGTCCCAAGATCGGCGGCTGTATTTTCTATATTTGTTTGGAGTGGATGGGTGCAGCCCAGGGATTCTCAGACGCCTATTATCAGAGAGAGGGGAGACAAGCAAAAATACATATTCCACCCACTCTCGTGACGGAGACTTACATTTATTTCCATCTTTTGTGTTCGCAAGTAGCAGTGAATTCGGAAAGTTCTCAGACCACTACGTTACAGCCTTATTCTAAAATTGATTAAATAGTCCCCCCCCCCCCAATCAATCTACACACAATACCCCATAATGACAAAGCAAAAACAGGTTTAGAAATGTTGTCAAAATTATTAAAAATAAGTATTCAGACCCTTTACTCAGTACTTTGTTGAAGCACCTTCGGCAGCGATTACAGCCTCGAGTCTTCTTGGGAATGACGCTACAAACACTGCTACTCCTACTGCTCTCTCCTCGTCTGACCATGTGTTCTCGCATACCCCGAGAGCATCTGGTCAGCGGGGTGGTGGCACAGGAATCCTCAGCTCTCCCAAGTGGACATTGTCTCTTTCTCCCCTGACCCATCTGTCTATCTCCTCATTTTAATTCCATGCTCTCACGGTCACTAGCCCATTCAAGCTTAACATCCTTATCATTTATCACCCTCCAGGTTCCCTTGGAGAGTTCATCATTGAGCTTGACAAGTTCCTTTCCTGAGGATGGCTCACCCCTCACAGTTCTGGGTGGGCATGGCGAGAATCTGTCTCCGCACCACGTGCTCTCACCACTGGTGTCCCCCAGGGCTCAGTTCTAGGCCCTCTCCTATTCTCGCTATACACCAAGTCACTTGGCTCTGTCATATCCTCACACAGCCTCTCCTATCATTGCTAAGCAGACGACACACAATTCATCTTCTCCTTTCCCCCTTCTGATAACCAGGTGGCGAATCGCATCTCTGCATGTCTGGCAGACATATCAGTGTGGATGACGGATCACCACCTCAAGCTGAACCTCGGCAAGACGGAGCTGCTCTTCCTCCCGGGGAAGGACTGCCCGTTCCATGATCTCGCCATCACGGTTGACAACTCTGTTGTGTCCTCCTCCCAGAGTGCAAAGAGCCTTGGCGTGACCCTGGACAACACCCTGTCGTTCTCCGCTAACATCAAGGCGGTGACCTGATCCTGTAGGTTCATGCTCTACAACAGTCGCAGAGTACGACCCTGCCTTACACAGGAAGCGGCACAGGTCATAATCCAGGCACTTGTCATCTCCCGTCTGGATTACTGCAACTCGCTGTTGGCTGGGCTCCCTGACTGTGCCATTAAACCCTACAACTCATCCAGAATGCCGCAGCCCGTCTGGTGTTCAACCTTCCCAAGTTCTCTCACGTCACGCCGCTCCTCCGCACACTCCACTGGCTTCCAGTTTAAGCTCGCATCTGCTACAAGACCATGGTGCTTGCCTACGGAGCTGTGAGGGGAACGGCACCTCCGTACCTTCAGGCTCTGATCAGTCCCTACACCCAAACGATGGCATTGCGTTCATCCACCTCTGGCCTGCTGGCCCCCCTACCTCTGCGGAAGCACAGTTCCCGCTCAGCCCAGTCAAAACTGTTCGCTGCTCTGGCACCCCAATGGTGGAACAAGCTCCCTCACGACGCCAGGACAGCGGAGTCACTCACCACCTTCCGGAGACACTTGAAACCCCACCGCTTTAAGGAATACCTGGGATAGGATAAAGTAATCCTACCACCACCCCAAATTTTTAAAAAAAAATAATATATATAGTAAAGTGCTTGTCCCACTGGCTATCATAAGGTGAATGCACCAATTTGTAAGTCGCTCTGATTAAGAGCGTCTGCTAAATGACGAAAATGTAATGTAAAAATGTATTTGGGGATTTTCTCCCATTCTTCTCTGCAGATCCTCTCAAGCTCTGTTAGGTTGGATGGGGAGCATTGCTGCACAGCTATTTTTAGGTATCTCCAGAGAGCATGTTCGGTCGGGTTCAAGTCCGGGCTCTGGCTGGTCCACTCAAGGACATTGAGACTCCTGCGTAGGTCTCGGCTGTGTGCTTAGGGTCATTGTCCTGTTTGAAGGTGAACCTTCGCTCCAGTCTGAGGTCCTGAGCAGGTTATTATCATCAAGGATCTCTGTACTTTGTTCCATTCATCTTTCCCCTCAATCCTGACTAGTCTCCCAGTCCCTGCCGCTGAAAAACATCCCCACAGCATGATGCTGCCATCATGCGTCACCGTAGGGATGGTGACAGGTTTCCTCCAGACTTGACGCTTGGCATTCAGGCCAAATAGTTCAATCTTGGTTTCATCAGACCAAATAAACTTGTTTCTCATGGTCTGAGAGTCTTTAGGTGCCTTTTGGCAAACTCCAAGCGGGCGGTCATGTCCCTTTTACTGAGGAGAGGCTTCCGTCTGGCAACTCTACCATAAAGGGCTGATTGGTGGAGTGCTACAGAGATGGTTGTCCTTCTGGAAGTTTGTCCCATCTCCACAAAGGAACTCTGGAGCTCTGTCAGTGACCATCAGGTTCTTGGTCACGTCCCTGACCAAGGCCCTTCTCCCCCGATTGCTCAGTTTGGCCGGGCGGCAAGATCTAGGAAGAGTCTTGGTGGTTTCAAACTTCTTCCATTTTAGAATGATTGAGGCCACTGTGTTCTTGGGGACCTTCAATGCTACAGACATTTTTTGGTACCCTTCCCCAGATCTGTGCCTCGACACAATCCTGTCTCGGAGCTCTTCGGACAATTCCTTCGACCTCATGGCTTGGTTTTTACTCTGACATGCACGGTCAACTGTGGAACCTTATTTAGACATGTGTGTGCCTTTCCAAATCATGTCCAATCAACTGCATTTACCACTGGTGGACTCCAATCAAGTTGTAGAAACATCTCAAGCATGATCAATGGAAACAGGATACACCAGAGCTCAATTTCAAGTCTCATAGCAAAGTTTCTGAATACTGATGTAAATAAGGTATCTTTTTTTTTTTTTTTTTAAATACAGTCGCAAATATTTCTTAAAACCTGTTTTCGCTTTGTCATTATTGGGTATTGTGTGTACATTGTTGAGGATTCTTTTAAAAAAATCAATTTTAGAATAAGGCTGTAACGTAACAAAATGTGGAAAAAGCCACGGGGTCTGAATACTTTCCGAATGCACTGTAGGTTTAAACCAATAAACAGTTCAGTAAATGTGTTTTTGTGGGCTCTTCACAGGCCATCAGCTCCCTTTCAGAACCTAGTTACAATAAAAATGTATTGTAGAATAATCAGTTGTCATACTTGGGAACTTGCTCCAGGTAATTCTGGTAGCCAGACGTGTTCTTGCCGTACTGAATCTGTTTCTGCCGTCGTTTCAGAACCGATTCATTGCCTTCTGTGTGAGCTGGATCCAGGTTTCGTGGGACCCACCGCATCCCTGACTGGGACCTAGGAAAAACAAGCCTCCATGATTTCCCCTATAATATTGCTGGAAATAATATTGTGCATGGAATTTTCCATCTAAATAGAGAACATGCACTACATTTCAAAAGAGGAAGGGTAATGTAGAATGGTAAATGGTTGTATTCCACCGATTGAGGTACTGAGGCCCTTCATTGTGCTCTTTAGGTTGACAAGAAAATAAAAATGATCTGTATTTTAGTCATTTAGCAGACACTCTTTCCCAGCGCAACTTGCAGTAGTGAGTGCATACATTTTTCATACTGACCTCCTGATACCATCCATGTCCTCGGTTCCAACAGCAACACTGGCAGTAGACATCCTTAGGATACATCGCTCAAGGATGGATGACCTGATGGGAAAAACAACCAGACAAAAAGGTCAGGTTAGAGTACTCACGGTAACGTGGAAGAAAACTGACCTAAACGGGAAGGGACTAAGTGAACTTGTCCAATAAGAAATGTATATTTTCATTTGCAAGACATTTTGCTCCGTGTGCACTAATACACTGCTGAAAAAAATAAAGGGAACACTTAAACAACACATCCTAGATCTGAATGAATGAAATAATCTTATTAAATACTTTTTTCTTTACATAGTTGAATGTGCTGACAAAATCACACAAAAATGATCAATGGAAATCAAATGTATCAACCCATGGAGGTCTGGATTTGGAGTCACCCTCAAAATTAAAGTGGAAAACCACACTACAGGCTGATCCAACTGATGTAATGTCCTTAAAACAAGTCAAAATGAGGCTCAGTAGTGTGTGTGGCCTCCACGTGCCTGTATGACCTCCCTACAACGCCTGGGCATGCTCCTGATGAGGTGGCGGATGGTCTCCTGAGGGATCTCCTCCCAGACCTGGACTAAAGCATCCGCCAACTCCTGGACAGTCTGTGGTGCAACGTGGCGTTGGAGCGAGATATGATGTCCCAGATGTGCTCAATTGGATTCAGGTCTGGGGAACGGGTGGTCCATAGCATCAATGCCTTCCTCTTGCAGGAACTGCTGACACACTCCAGCCACATGAGGTCTAGCATTGTCTTGCATTAGGAGGAACCTAGGGCCAACCGCACCAGCATATGGTCTCACAAGGGGTCTGAGGATCTCATCTCGGTGCGTAATGGCAGTCAGGCTACCTCTGGCGAGCACATGGAGGGCTGTGCGGCCCCCCAAAGAAATGCCAACCCACACCATGACTGACCCACCACCAAACCGGTCATGCTGGAGGATGTTGCAGGCAGCAAAACGTTCTCCACGGCGTCTCCAGACTCTGTCACATGTGCTCAGTGTGAACCTGCTTTCATCTGTGAAGAGCACAGGGCGCCAGTGGCGAATTTGCCAATCTTGGTGTTCTCTGGCAAATGCTAAACGTCCTGCACGGTGTTGGGCTGTAAGCACAACCCCCACCTGTGGACGTCGGGCCCTCATACCACCCTCATGGAGTCTGTTTCTGACCGTTTAAGCAGACACATGCACATTTGTGGCCTGCTGGAGGTCATTTTGCAGGGCTCTGGCAATGCTCCTCCTGCTCCTTCTTGCACAAAGGTGGAGGTAGCGGTCCTGCTGCTGGGTTGTTGCCCTCCTACACGTCTCCTGATGTACTGGCCTGTCTCCTGGTAGCGCCTCCATGCTCTGGACACTACGCTGACAGACACAGCAAACCTTCTTGCCACAGCTCGCATTGATGTGCCATCCTGGATGAGCTGCACTACCTGAGCCACTTGTGCGGGTTGTAGACTCCGTCTCATGCTACCACTAGAGTGAAAGCACCGCCAGCATTCAAAAGTGACCAAAACATCAGCCAGGAAGCATAGGAACTGAGAAGTGGTCTGTGGTCACCACCTGCAGAACCACTTCTTTATTGGGGGTGTCTTGCTAATTGCCTATCATTTCCACCTGTTGTCTATTCCATTTGCACAACAGCATGTGAAATGTATTGTCAATCAGTGTTGCTTCCTAAGTGGACAGTTTGATTTCACAGAAGTGTGATTGACTTGGAGTTACATTGTGTTGTTTAAGTGTTCCCTTTATTTTTTTGAGCAGTGTATATACAACCCTGATGAGTGGAAGTCCAAGGCAGGCGCTGGAATACCATAGTCATGAACAGTACCTGCGAGGCTTTTGCATAGTAGGTCCCCTTTCATCATTCATGGGTGAGGCAGGCATGGCTGGGGCTGCATTACTAAAAAGGGACAGTAACTGGTGAATAAAAACGTGATAAACATAAAAAAGTAGGGAAATGGATATTCAACCGACTGAACAAATATTTAAGAGTAGGCATAGGGGTTGAAATTAATTAAGGTCAGGGTTAAAGGTAGAATCAGCAATATGACATAGGTGCACAAAGTAAATGGCATAGTGGGTCAATTTCCGAAACTAAGAGCGTTGAAGCGCGAGGCTAAACTCCCCGCAGTGTTTTGTACCTACCACACTCGAACAGAGTGAAGCGAACCCATGCACAGACACTGTGTGTGACAGCGAAGTCTTGCATCTCAATATCTGCGGTGCTGCTCGTGGCGTCCTTAATTTAGCTGAGTCTACCTTTAACGTTAGGTTAAGGAACAAGGGTTAGGTTAGGTATAGTTCCAGTAAGGTGAAGGTAAGGGTTAGTGTTAGGGAAAGGCATAAAAGTTGAAATTGGTTAAAGCACCGCTGTTCATTTTCTGCCTGTGTAAAGATAGCCAGCAGATCTGACTCGCTTGCTTACAGCTGCACTAGGGTCAGACAGCATTCCTGTGTAGATTAAGACCCTGCAGAGCCGCCGCGAGATATGCCTCGGAAAATGTACCTCAATCCAGGGATGAGAAATGCTTAGTCAAATATTTTTTTTAACTAACCTAAGATCGACCAGAGCCTGTCGTTTCCAATGGGAGCAAATTAATCCAATGGGCAGAGCCAAGCAAGAGGTGGGCAGAGCCAAGCTAGTGAGATCCTATTGGCACGTTCTAGCATTTATTGCATATTGCCGTTAGGGAACGCCTACTCTGAAGTGCACGTGTGCTATAACTCAATTCGCCCTTGCACTCCTAAACAACCATTTTTAATAAACTTTGGCAAAGTACAAAACGCAGTCTTCTGCTACAGATTCTAGTTTTGGAAACAAAACTGTATGGAGATCAAATGTTTCATCGATAAGTTTGGCCAGAATATATCTCACGCCATCTTCTCCCACTGCCGGCCACTGGGCTTCCTCTCATCACCATATTTGGTAGTGAGTTGAAACTCCAACCGGATGAGTCACATATATACATCAAGTGAAATATCTGTCTCTTCGTTGATCTGTGGAGTGGTCCTCTGAATTGTCCCAACTGAAAACACCTAGAAGATTGAAAGACTGCTGTTTACGTAAACTGCCGTTTTTGTCCTCGTGCTAGCTAGCAGTAGTCACAGCAGCCATTATGGAATTGCACGTCGCGTTGAACAACAAATGAGCCGATTGGCTGACACTGCCATTCCAAAATGGCTGCTGTGGCTTCTGCTACCTAGCATGAGGACGAAATAGACAGTTTTCCGTAAACTAGCAGTCGTACAATCTCCTCTGTAACAGTTGGGCTAATAGGACAATTCGGTGTACAACGCATTCTTCTATTCCTGGATTGAGGTACGTTTTCCGAGCCATTTTTCGTTTCTTAAACTACACAGGAATGCTGTCTTACCCGAGTGCAGCTGTAAGCAAGCGAGTCGGATCTGCTGGCTAGTCTAAAAGTACACCATCTTTTTTGGCCTAAACCTGCTTCTCTGGGTATGTTTTTAGTTTGGCTGTTGTGCTCAATCAACAAAGAAACTCTGGTATCTCAATTAGAGGGCTCTCCTGCCACCTTACCTGACCAGACTGTCATACACAGAGCTACAGCCTGGAAGAAGCCAAGGTTCAGGGCTGCATGAATGAGTAGTTGCTCTGGACCTGAAGCCAGGGGGCAGCTCTGGGATGCCAGACCAGAGAGGCATTGACCAACCCCTAAAAACAACAGCACACAGGGAGCAGGGACCAAAATGTTACTCTGTCAATATACATCAGGGATGGCAACTCCAGTCATCGGGGGCCTGATTGGTGTCACTTTTCCCTCAGCCCTATAGCTAACACACCTGATTAAACTAATTGCGTTCTAAACTAAAGACCATGGTTAATTTATTCTTGGATTCAGGTGTTTACTAGCGGCAAAGGTAACCAATCAGGGCCCCCCCAGGGCTGGAGGTGCCTGTCATTGATATACATGTATTTGAGTTTCTTTGTTAAACTATACCACTTTGCATTACACTTTGGGGGAAGGCCTAAGCAATTTGTCAGAATCAATTATGTGATCATCTTAATGGTGACATTAATTAGTGGCAGATAAAACTAAAACAAACAATTTAAGTGGTAGGCAACTTCATGGACAGGGGATTTTCGGTCATGTAAATATTGAAAATAGGCTAATCATCTTAAATGTCGAGTCAGTAGGGTCGTTTTAAACTACACATGATAGAATGACAAAAAAGAACATACAGACCTCGGCTCCATTAATGGACCTTGAAATGCGGTTTCGACACGTGTTGACATGATGAATTTGTCTGCAGTAAATGCGTCATTACTGCAAGGACAGTTCTTAAATTAACGCCAGGCGCCATCAGGGCGGGGCGGCAGGGGTGTGCGCCAGCCTCATCTTGGGTGCGTTCAGTTCGATTGAATGTTTGTTACGTTGCCTACGGTTTGGAATGCACTACACGTTTCCTCAAAACGCCAATACGCGTCGAAACCGCACGCAATTAAAGGTGCAGTTATCTGTATGTTTTTTTTTGTCATTCTATCACGTGTAGTTTGACTGAGTAACATTGTGATCCCTGTTCCCTGTGTGCTGCTATTTTAGGGGTTGGTCAATGCCTCTTTGGTTCGGCATCCCAGTATGATTAAAGTAATTTATTTAATCATCTTACCTGATGTACAGCAGATAACAATGTGATTGTTTATCTTAATGCAATGCAATCAGTTATTCCATCAAATCAGGCGAACATTCAAAGAAAGGGGTTAGATTTTGTTTAGAAAATGTATTATATGATAAATCTACATTTTACATTTACATTTTCGTCATTCAGCAGACGCTCTTATCCAGAGCGACTTACACCTTATGATAGCTAGTGGGACAAGCACTTTACAATTTTTTTTTTTTTTTTTTTGGGTGGGGTAAGGGAAGGATTACTTTATCCTATCCCATGTATTCCTCAAAGAGGTGGGGTTTCAAGTGTCTCCGGAAGGTGGTGAGTGACTCCGCTGTCCTGGCGTCGTGAGGGAGCTTGTTCCACCATTGGGGTACCAGAGCAGCGAACAGTTTTGACTGGGCTGAGCGGGAACTGTGCTTCCGCAGAGGTAGAGGGGCCAGCAGGCCAGAGGTGGATGAACGCAATGCCCTCGTTTGGGTGTAGGAACTGATCAGAGCCTGAAGGTACGGAGGTGCCGTTCCCCTCACAGCTCCGTAGGCAAGCACCATGGTCTTGTAGCAGATGCAAGCTTAAACTGGAAGCCAGTGGAGTGTGCGGAGGAGCGGGGTGACGTGAGAGAACTTGGGAAGGTTGAACACCAGACGGGCTGCAGCGTTCTGGATGAGTTGTAGGGGTTTAATGGCACAGGCAGGGAGCCCAGCCAACAACGAGTTGCAGTAATCCAGACGGGAGATGACAAGTGGCTGGATTAGGACCTGTACCGCTTCCTGTGTAAGGCAGGGTCGTACTCTGCGAATGTTGTAGAGCATGAACCTACAGGATCGGGTCACCGCCTTGATGTTAGCGGAGAACGACAGGGTGTTGTCCAGGGTCACACCAAGGCTCTTTGCACTCTGGGAGGAGGACACAACGGAGTTGTCAACCGTGATGGCGAGATCATGGAACGGGCAGTCCTTCCCCGGGAGGAAGAGCAGCTCCGTCTTGTCGAGGTTCAGCTTGAGGTGGTGATCTGTCATCCACACTGATATGTCTGCCAGACATGCAGAGATGCGATTCGCCACCTGGTTATCAGAAGGGGGAAAGGAGAAGATTAATTGTGTGTCGTCTGCTTAGCAATGATAGGAGAGGCTGTGTGAGGATATGACAGAGCCAAGTGACTTGGTGTATAGCGAGAATAGGAGAGGGCCTAGAACTGAGCCCTGGGGGACACCAGTGGTGAGAGCACGTGGTGCGGAGACAGATTCTCCTGTCAGGTAGGACGCAATCCAAGAGTGAGCCGCGCCGGAGATGCCCAACTCGGAGAGGGTGGAGAGGAGGATCTGATGGTTCTACTACTTGATATGAATAGGGGAAATAGGCTATTTATTTTGGTAATAAAAACAGGGCGCTTGCTATAAAAACTGCAATTTACTTCCCTACCCCATTTAAGTTTAAATGTGAAATGGTTAAGGTTAGGGTATGGGGTTAAGGTTAGGGTTTAGGGTGGGGACTTTCCAAGGACTGGAATAGCACCGACCTGAACAAAATGGCATCCTGCAATGACTACAAAGTCAAAATTGGCTAGATCTGAAAAATTCATTTTAAAAGAACATTAGCTTTTTGGTCTTAATTTAAGGTTTGGGTTAGGCATAAGGTTAGCAGTGTGGTTAAGGCTAGGGTTAAGGTTGAAAAAAATTAAATAAATATATTTTTGGAACTCAGTCGGGTCTCAACTTACTGTTGTGAGTACGAATAGCAGGATACACAAGGTACTATTTCGAAATGTGGTTGTGTCACGCCCTGGCTCTGGGGACTCTTGTATGTTGAGCCAGGGTGTTAGTTTCTTTGTGTAGTGTCTATGTTTAGTTTTCTATGTTCACAATCTAGTTTAAGTGTTTCTATGTTGGCCGGGGTGGTTCCCAATTAGAGACAGCTGTGTCTTGTTGTCTCTGATTGGGAACCATACTTAGGCAGCCTGTTGTGCACTTGTCTTTTGTGGGATCTTGTTCCATGTAGGTTTGTGTTATGGCCGAGGACGTCACGTATCGTTTTTGTTGTTTTGTGTTATATTGAAAGTACCTATTAAAGTATGTACTCATATCACGCTGCGCCTTGGTCCGTTCATTTTGACGATCGTGACAGGTTGCGCATCAGCAGTTTTTCTCTTGTTATGTCAGTCACTCATAGTCAGTCAATTAACCCATGTCAGCTAACATTTTTTAAATATAATAAAATAAAATGTTATTGACCATCCAGGATGGAAATGTTTCTTTGGCATCACCTTACATTAAAAGGATCACATACACATACAGTCGTGGTCAAAAGTTTTGAGAATGACACAAGTATTGGTCTTCACAAAGTTTGCTGCTTCAGTGTTTTTAGATATTTTTGTCAGATGTTACTATGGTATACTGAATTGACAAGTTACAAGCATTATATAAGTGTCAAAGGGCCCTTTATTGACAATTACATTAAGTTATAGGCACAAGAGTCACGCTTGGCAGTGGTTGACCCTCTTTGCTTAATGGCCTTGCAATCCGCTTGGCATGCTGTCAATGAACTTCTGGGCCACATCCTGACTGATGGCAGCCCTTCTTTCATTCAAGGTTCCTAGTGCCCAAGCACTAGGACTTTGGCGTCCCCAGGGCATGCGTTGCTGACTCCCCGCATAGCCCTAACGTGTCTCCCGGGACCACCATTCCGCACCACGCATAGGACTATGTGCGTCCCCAGGTCTGCATGTGCTTCTCCCCGCACTAGCCCTGAAGATGCGTGTCCTCAGCCCGGGACCACCAGTTCCGGCACCACGCACTAGGACTTATGTGCGTCCCCAGGGTCCTGCATGCCCTGTTGCTTCTCCCCGCACTAGCCCTGAGATGCGTGTCCTCAGCCCGGTACCTCCAGTTCCGGCACCACGCATCAGGTCTACGGTGCGCCTCAGACGGCCAGAGTCTGCCGTCTGCCCAACGGCGCCTGAACTGCCCGTCTGCCCAACGGCGCCTGAACTGCCCGTCTGCCCAACGGCGCCTGAACTGCCCGTCTGCCCAACGGCGCTTGAACTGCCCGTCTGCCCAACGGCGCTTGAACTGCCCGTCTGCACTACGGCGCCTGAACTGTCTGTCTGCCCAACGCCGTCTGAACTGCCCGTCTGCCCAACGCCGTCTGAACTGCCCGTCTGCCCAACGCCGTCTGAACTGTCCGTCTGCCCAACGCCGTCTGAACTGCCCGTCTGTACTGAGCCTGCAAAGCCGCCCGTCTGCCATGAGCCTTCAGAGCCGTCCGCCAGACCGGAGCCGCTAGAGCTCTTCGCCAGACAGGATCAGCCAGAGCCTTCCGCCAGACAGGATCAGCCAGAGCCTTCCGCCAGACAGGATCAGCCAGAGCCTTCCGCCAGACAGGAGCAGCCAGAGCCTTCTGCCAGACCGGATCAGCCAGAGCCTTCCGCCAGACAGGAGCAGCCAGAGCCTTCCGCCAGCCATGAGTGGCCAGATCCGTCAGCCAGCCATGAGCCGCCAGATCCGTCAGCCAGCCATGAGCAGCCAGATCCGTCAGCCAGCCATGAGCCGTCCAGCCAGGATCCGCCAGAGCCGTCCAGCCAGGATCCGCCATTTAGTCCAGTGCTGCCCCTTAGTCCAGTGCTGCCCCTTAGTCCAGTGCTGCCCCTTAGTCCGGTGCTGCCCATTAATCCAGGTGGGTTTAAGTGGAGGGTGGTCATTGGGAAGAGGTTAAGAAAGCGGGTAGGAACTATAGTGGGGTGGTGGTCAAGCCCGGAGCCGGAACCGCCTCCGGGGAGCAACACCCACCCAGCCCTCCCCTATTGTGGGGTTGTGAGGCGCGGTCGCAGTCCGCGCCTTTAGGGGGGGGTACTGTGACGTTCTGGCTCCGGGACTCTTTGTTGTGAGCCAGGGTTGTCATTTTCTTTTGGGTGTATTTCTATGTGGGATCTGGTTGTTCATTTTCTATGTTTGGTTTTGTTGTTTATTGGGCATATGACTCCCAATCGGAGGTAACGAGTGTCAGCTGTTCGGCTCGTTATCTCTGATTGGGAGCCATATTTAAT